ATGGTCCGATTTTGGATTTTTAGGGGTCAATTCCACGTGAAATTTTCCGTGCTTTTCAATCCTGACGCGATCGATCCGCAATTCGGTCGGGAACCGTGACTTTTAGCATCGTGACCCCCCCTTTACCCCCCAAGGGGGGGTGGGGGGGTTTCGGGACCACAAAATTCGGATTCCTTGGGGTCAATTCCCTATTCAACCCCGCGGTCTCCGACTTCGTACGACCTATACCAACCAAGAAAAAGGCCTGGTACGGGTGGTCTGAAACACCCTGTACTGCGCGTGCACTCGCTCAGCAGTCTCTGGCGACGCCACTAAAATTGTAATACACTTAGCAATGCGGAGCTACTTTCATTGTAGTACCATTGGAACTATACGACATTCTGAACTTTTAATGTATCGACTGAAACTGAATGAAAAAATGAGACGTCTCAAGTAACTCTCTCATGTTAAATTAAAGTTGTTTTTCATATGTGAAGGATGGAAAAGAAAAGCATATATCTGGTGTGGGTATAAAACTTTTTAATTTTCAAGTGTTTTTTGCAAGATGTAAGAGCAATGCTTATGTATCGTTAGTTTTTCATTGCAGGACACGGACTTTTGTCAAAATTTTTAAGCACATTTAGGTACGAGTCGTAAACTCCTTTATACTCTATACTCTCATAGGTCTCATGTGACGAACTTCACCTTCAAGGTACATCGAAATTCTAATATGATCATGATTGTAAAAAGGGAAAAAAGCGAAGCTGAAGATGCAAGAGACTTATTCGGGCCTCGTTTTTCTAACTTTCCTCCCGAATCTGAGCGACACCTCATTCTCATTGGCAGCATAGCGGAGCAGTGCGGGTTCACGCTTCGCGGTATCGCGCCTTCAATTTTGCAGATGCAGCACGGACATCCATCAAGCACGAATACCTAGTTGTATCTCTGCGCCGTCATCAACGCGCTCCTTATCCTTTGCTCTATTTCCATGTTGTGTTGGTTCTGTTTGTCTTGCTTTTATAGTGGTGCATCAAAGGTTACGTGAGCAGCACAGCCGGAGACAGAAAAGATGTCATCCGGCCTTGTTTTTTAACTTTTCTCCTGAAGCCGAACGACTTCTCACTAGCAGCAAAGAGCGAAGCAAAATTTCGAGTTCACGCCTCATGCCATCGCGCCTTCAATTTTGCTAATGCAACATAGACATCAATCAAGCACGGATATTGTCATCGCTGCGCTGGCATCAACCCGCGTTGAAGTGTCTCTTACTTTTGAAATTTAAGACAATTTAAGGTTAAGTTTGCTCAAGATATGCTCTGATGTATCAAAATCAATGATCATTTTGGGGGAAAATGAGGAAAGAAAAAAAAGAAGTAATAACAGGTCTAGGTCTTTTAAGCATCCTAAAAGCGCACGTCTAAAAAATTGCATTTTGGCGAGAGTTATGTAGTGTCAGGAAATTTTTGACATCCTAGAAATCCCAAGCCTTATCAAATTAATTCGACTATCTCTGCTGGGGAGTTTCAAATGGCGGATGAGAAGGCGGGAATGAGAAAGCGCCAATATGCTACAAAAAAAAGGTAAAAATAAAAATAAAAAAAGTATTTCTCACCTTACAGAAAATACATATAACATAGATAATACCTCAAAAACCATTTGCGTAATTGCGTGTAAAAAAAAAAGGTCTTGAGCATCTAAGGGTTAATAAACACTCAAAAATTAGAAAAATGTGAAAGGGGAACGCGGAAAAAAAGAAAGAAAAAAAGTGTATACCGAAATATATTTATATTGCCCCTACAGCTTTTTCACGCCGACAAATTGAATTTATATATTTTAATCAGTATACATGCAAGTAATTCACGCAAAGGCGGATTCAGACACTTTGAACGGAAGGGGGGGGGGGGCTTCTCACAGAAAATTTTCGAAATTATAAAGCATCTTGTATGCAGTTTGAGTCAATTTCGTCTTGGATAATCACAAGGTTCCTTCCATCCTCTTTCCTCCGTTCCCTCTTTTCTTCCCTGTTTCTTCCTCATTTTTTCGGGCCAACCCGAAAGGAGGAGGGGGGATGTCGTACGTCCCTTACGGAGGGACCTCTCCCCGTCATCCTCCGGATCCACCTGTGAATGCACGACATTTCCTCAATGAAACACTCATGAAAGTCGAGTTTATCGAAGCTAAACTTACTTGGAGTTGGAAATGTGCGGACTGTGGTGCGTGCGCGCCGGCCATCCACTACTACAGTTGCACTCATTTGTACTTCCCGCCAAAACTGTAACTTTGACGTCATAAATGTTGATAAACAAAACGAACACATATCTAACCTCAAAATTATCACGAGACGAGACCGGAGTAGAAATTCACCATTGATTGAACAAGATAAATCTCCTTTTTCATAAGTCTTTCTATTTAGTTTTGGTATAATTTTACAGACCAATTTGGTCAGTTGTACCTGTCAATTTTTGTGCTTCGACCCCTGTGACATATCCATGTAAACTCCAGCCGGAATGATGGTGTTTGGGAGACTGGGGAAACCACAGTTTTTATCAGTAGTTTTTTCCAAAATTGGAAGTCAGTTTTTGCAAGAGGCTTGCGGTCTCCCTTGTAGATCTGCATTCTCCAGTTGCACTAACAGTTAGTATTTTCTCTGATTATCTACAAAAATTCTTGCATGATTGCTGCATGTTTTCCTTTTCTCCGTGGAGCTCCTAAATATTGTGCCCATGCGTTGCTTCGCCCCTTTTTAATTTTGATTGAATATGTAGTCTTTTGACTATTTTTCCTTGATTCTAAACAAATACATGCTTCTTATATTGTAACTTCTGACTGACAAGACAGACCAGGGCAAAACTCTACTATTACTTACCCATACTCCAATGGAGGTCTCTTGAAAGTAGAGAAGTGTTTGCTGATGGTACCTATTGTCTCTAGAAACTGTGGTATTAGCCAATGGTAATGGAAGTCATCCTTGAAGTTATTCTCAGTGGCGCATGTTGGAAACCTTAGATTACATAAGTTCCTGTGTCTATTCAACCTCCCTCCAAGAACCATTTATCCCAACAAAATCGGTTAAAGTAAAAGGACATTATAAGTATGCCTGGTGCTGCTCAAACAGCCGATGCCTGTCAGAGAAATGAGCAGTGAGCATTATAATACAAGATTAATTGGTCTTTCATTTGCATGTTAAATATCAAAGTTAAATTCCAGGTATCTTAAAAATATTTAATTTTTTAATTTACGGAAAATTTCTGTATCAGATGCTGTCAACACGTATACCAATAGAAGTCATACTTGTGGTGAGTTGAGGTCCTCTGATGTTGGTAAAGAAGTGACCCTATATGGTTGGTTGGAATATCAGCGGCTGGACAAATTTGGTGTCCTCAGAGATGGATATGGTTCTGTCCAGTTTCTGGTCCCTGATGAAGTAAGTAAAATTTCAGCTGTATTGCATTTGACCTATATTCTGAAACCTTGTGCATCGACATTAGCTCTCGACAAATACATAAAATTTATGAAAGCAGTTAAAAAAAACCATTCATACTTGCGCTTATCATTGCAAAAAGACACTGCAAGCTGGGAGAGATTAAAAAGATAAGTAATATGAGAGCTCAATGCAACAGCATCAAAAATGGTTTGCTGAGTATGATCTGTAAAAATTTCCCATGTGACCTATCAAGCAAACATTGAATCTATATTTACAGACTTGGAGACAACATTTTAAAACTCTTATGATTTCTGCAAAAATTGATCTCAGCCTCACTAGTACCGCATTAAAAAGAGAATTTTTGGGAGAGATTTCTGCCTTTATAACGTTCTTAAGAGTGTGTAAGATCAATAGTTTTTCATAGTAAGAATCAATATTAATTTTCAAATTTAAATTACTCTTAAAATATAATTTATTAAAAAAATTGTTGAAGACTTCTATGTTGGAGCCATCAATTTTTATTGATGTTTTGCCAATTCATCCTCCTAATCTACGTGGCCTCTAATTTTTAGGAGTTTTTTTTTCTGTAATTTTCAGAGCAAAAAAATTGGGGACATCCTTGGGAAACTTAATTTGGAATCAGTCATTAAACTCAGAGGAATTGTAACTTCCAGGCCTGAAGGTCAATCAAATAAAGTAAGTACAGTTCCATATCTAATAATGTGAAAATTTAACACCTAATACAGTATTATTTTTTATTAGTAAAGAAACTGAAGAAGCGAATGATTAATTTAAATACTGTCTAATTGATACTTACAATTTTCAAATTCAGATGAGTATATTTAATGTCCTACTAGTAACTTATTGAAAGAAACGCTCGCTTAAGCAGGTGGTTTTGGACTTAATACTTAATGAAAAAAAGGTTTGAAATTCAATTTTCTTAGTCTTAATTTGCCATCATATTTTAGCTATCTGATTCATAATCATGAGACTACAATTGAACGCAAAATGCATGTTCAATATGCGAAAGTCTGAGTTTCATAACTTGCTCAGTTCCTTTTATTGTTCCTTTTTGTCTCATTTTGGTTTTGGTTTTTTCTATCTTGTTTTTCTAACAGGACATGGGAACAGGAGATATTGAAATTATTGTCCAAGATCTAGACGTATTAAATGTTGCAAAAGCAAACTTACCCTTCCATATCCGTGAACATGCCAAGGTAAGCTGCTGGTATCTGACTTCTTTCATTTTGGTATTGCCTTGAAGCAGAAATATCAAAAAAAAGAGAAGAAAAAAAAGTATTCTGCACTTTACTGACCAGTTACTCCGATAAAAGAAGTTAGGGCTCAGTCTGTAATTCTTACCTGTACATTTACTCAGACTATTTTGTTCATTTTTGTTGATTATATGTGTTCCTATCAACCACAAGTGTATTTATTTCGGAAAATGATTCAAGATATCTGTTCCTCTTTTTTTATTTAGAATATTATAAATTGAATTAAGTTGGAGCTGCTTATAAAAATTTTTAAGTCCTATGAATGACGTACCTATACACAGTGTTCCAACTTCACCTGGTGCTATGCGCGGAATGCACCTAAAAAAATGAGGTTTTGGCACGTAAAAACTTAGAATACTGGCCAAACATGGCGCCTCAAAATTCAGACAAAATCTACCGTGAATTCTTGAAGCAGCCCACCTGTTTTACATTTTAATTACTAATTTGCTCTCCTCACAAGGTTGCATACACCATGATTGGTAAAACGTATGGAAAAAATCATTTTGGTGTCTGAAAATTAAGATTGCCGGTCAAGTTGGCTCCAAAAATTTAACTCTTATCATGTAACTTTGCACATTCATTCGGAACTGTGTAGACCTGTGTTGGAGAGATGAAAAGAAATTTCATATATTCTTGATTTCTAGAAATTTGGCAACCACATTTAGTTTTAATTAAATAATTTCACATTCTTAAACTTCAAACCAACCTCTACAGTTCATAATTTTTTGTGGGTCAATTGAAATATTTTTTTCCCAGGCAAAAGAGTCTCTACGGATGAAATATCGTTACCTAGACCTGAGGTATCCCAAGTTACAGCACAACTTACGGCTCCGATCGAAAGTGATCATGAAGATGAGAGAGTTTCTAATCAATGAATGTGCTTTTATTGAAGTTGAAACTCCCACCTTATTCAAAAAAACTCCTGGGGTGAGTAAAAAAAATTTTATTTTTTAAAACAAATTTCTCGTCTTTCAAGAGTCAAATATTTCAAATTTCAATCCTATTTCCTGTTTCCAAATGAAAAGAAAGGAATGAAAAAGGAGTTTTATTCACAGCATCAGCATGTTAACCAGAAATTAATTCAGTTTTGCAGAAATGGTGGGCAAGTTTTTCTTTGAACTTTCCTCACTCATTCTACTTAATGAGGTTACATAAAATTTCAAGGAAATCTTTTTGTTAAAAAAATGAAGCATAATTGATATGTCTGTGTAAATTTTAATGCGTTGAAGTTTTGCCTGCAGGGAGCCAGAGAATTTGTAGTTCCTACCCATAACAAAAACCAGTACTATGCATTGGTACAGAGTCCGCAGCAGTTGAAGCAGCTCCTGATGGTTGGTGCTGTAGATCGATATTTTCAAGTGGCGCGATGCTACAGGGACGAGGGCTCAAGGAAAGATAGACAACCAGAATTCACTCAGGTAGAATCCTTTGAAAATTGTGAATTTCAAGGGCTGATTGTGAAAGAACTGTGGCAAATAGTGGCTTATTGACAACATCAGCATCTTTTGCTAAACTCCATGTAAAATTTTCAGAATTTTGTAGAAAAATTCACTTTTCTTTTCTTTTGATTTTTCAAAACTCGGAGGTTTTCCCACAGATATTGGATGTTTCTTTAGGTCATTGAGATTTTTTTAATTAAAAAGCTTTAAATAAGCAAGTACGCACAGTATTAGAGTATCATTTGGTTGGAAAAAGAGGAAAAAATTTTGTTGGTTTTTTTTTTTTTTTTTTTAGAAAAGGCAATGTGTATACTGTCATTGTTTTTTTTTCAGCTTTTAAGTTTTAGTGCCACCCTAATTTCTCATTCAAATTATGAATTCTCACCCTTTCAGTTAGATCTGGAGTTCTCATTCTTGGAACAAGAGCATATATTCCCACTGATTGAGAACTTACTAGTTTCTTCTTGGCCTGCTGACTCAATGCCAATATCAGTGCCCTTTCCCCGAATGAAGTATACAGAAGCAATGGAACGATATGGCACTGACAAACCAGATGTTTCATTTGGATCAGAGGTTGGATTTTCAAAGCATAAATTATAAATGAAAAAAAAATTTTAAGGTTTTAAATTTTCAAAGTATGAAAAGGAAAAGGTAGAAAGACTAAAATTCAGACACATTTTATACTTATTATTTTCTTCCGAACGTCCATTTCAGCATGTTACTCTGCAATTTACGGCAATACTAGCCTGGCTGCCCGGATGATGCTAGATTCCCTTCAGAATTTTTTCTTTCTTTTTTTCTGCATCGATACTTTCTTCCACTATGTCATATGTTTGTCAATAGAATATCTTCATAGATTTTCTGTTTTGAATATATCATTAATTTCAAGTAAAGCTTTGTTCTACATTAGATTGATTTTTAATTTCATATGGAATATCTTTAGGATGTGTATTCAGGATGTGTGATTCATGTGACAGGATGTGTTTTTAGAGGAATAAACTATTCATTCATTATCAGTATTTTGAGTAAGTATTTCTTATCTTCGAAAGTTTTATGAGAATGATCGAGTTATTAGAAACAGTTTTAAAACTTAATTATAAATATGTCGTCAACTATCACCTTTACAAACCTTCTGCATTTTAATTTTTTCCAAAAAAAGAGAAAAAAAAACCCTCAGTTTTAAACTTTAATGTATCCGCGCGTTTTTTACTACAGGTGCATAATGTGACATCTATCTTCGCCAATAGTTCTGGAGAATCTGAAGTTTTGACAAAAAAATTTGGTGCAGAGTCAAAAAATCTAAATTTTCATAGTGTATTGTTCCCTCAAAAAGCTGTAAGTCTCCTTTGTTTTATTTTCAATTTATTTTATCTGTGTAACAGTAATTTAATCTATGATCTCAGTTTAGAATACAATATTTTGAAATTTTTAAAAGTATTGGAGTCCTACAAACTGATGGAAGGCTACATTCTCAGTGGTTGTCATTTGCTTTTAAAATAGTAAGACGCATTTCAAAAGAAAATCTTTCGCCAATTTTCACGCATTTTATTTTGTCTGTAAGTACGAGAATAAAAAAAGAGCAGTACAATCAAGAATCAAAGAATTGTTCTACTAGGGTAAGGAAAAACGCTTTATGAGCATTCTAATTTTGCCAAATTTCCTCTCAGAAAATATTAATTTTTGAAGAAAGTCGGGAATATTTTTCTTTGAAATTTTCTGACTCTCTAGTTCAGATTATATACACAATTTTCTAAAAAAGTGGAAGGAAAATATTTAGGAATTTTCCCGAAAATTAATGACTTGTCAAGGAAATTTAGCAACGCCTGATGAAGAGCCAGAAAAAGTAGCTCTTTATTCCTTAAAACGGACTTTCCATTTTGGCCTTGATTGTGTTAATTTTCTGATGATTAAGACCTGTAAGCTTTGTGGGTTTCACAAGCATATTTTGCCCTCCATTATGTCCCTTCTCTGTTGATGGTGTGAGCAAAGTTAGGCCTTGTTCACCCGAGGGCGGTTCGCGGAACTTCAGGGCGAATTGGTTTAACAAACTGGGATTTTGCGGAGTAAGTTATAGCTGAGTTACAACAAGTTCCGAGAACAAGTTTACTCGAAGTTCTGCAAACCACGCTTGTATGAACAAGGCCTTATTGACCTCATGACTATTTAGAAAATAAATAAGGCTTGTCACATGATCAACAAAGGTAAATTTATTTGCCCAGTTATAGCACAGAGTTTTTTTCTTCTTGTTAAAATGAGTTTTTTTAGGAATAATTATGCTTTTAACTTATTCACTGCATTCTCTCACCCAGGAACATTATACGAAAGCGATACAGAAGAAGTTAGACGTCCTAGCTAAAGAATCATTTCCAGATGTCCTCTACCTTCCTTTGCCTTTCAACGACAGTAATACATGGAGTGAGAAACTGAAAAAAATATGGCCAACATTGTCTCCTGAAAAAATTTCTGAAGAGCTTGGTTGCGCCAGTGGAGATCTCTTATTCCTAGCCATCGGGAAAAAGGAGAGTAATGTAAGCATCTAGCCATTCAATAAAAGAAACATTTTTCTTCTCCTAACACAAGTTGACAACTAAAGATACTGAAGTTGCTGCGTTTGCCTCAAAACAAATAAAGTAGGGGCGGAAATTTTGATCTGCCGCAATTAAGAAAAGTAGTCTCCTAGTTTAGCCACTTGTGTAATCAGATAAAACAGGAAACATTCAGTCTTGGACACAAGTACCAATGAGACTCTGCAAGACCCCTTATTATTCATTTAGAGAGCCATCTCAGCCAAGCCCATTCACAGTGATTCGAATCCTACTGCTTTTGTTATTGTTTCTTTCATTAAGTAATTAACTTGCTGGGCCTTGATATGCCTGAGTCCAGCACACATTTTGAATCTCATGAGAATGACAAAATCACGTTTGTCACTAAATTTTGTTTTAACGCTACAGACTGCAAGGCAGCAAAAATAATAAGATGTATTCGAATGCTAAGTTCCAGTGATCAACACTGATGGAAATATTGTCACTACAAAAAAATGGTCATTAGCGGAGGAAGCACATACCATATTTTTCCCTGTCTGTCTAGTCAGAGTTGTCTTTTTAGCAACCAGTGCAAATCTGCACGTTACTATGATGAATCCGGACTTACTGATGTATATGTGAATATTTAATGCAGAGACTTGGCGCTTGAACTATTATTATCAATGAGTTGTTTTAGGTATGGAGCCTCAAAACACAATTCTATGGCATGCACAACAGACCCACTGTTTTGAATAAGGTAACTTTCTAGAACAGAGATTTGTGGCTTTCATAAGGTTTACTCTTTCTGTCTCCTTTTTACAATTGCTACGAAGGCTAATTTATTCCCTATTTGTATTCCATCAGATATTATTGGGTCAAATACGGTTGGAATTTGCCGAAGCCCTTAAAAAAAAGAATGTTGATTTTGGTCGCCACAAGTCACAGTTTCACTTCCTATGGATCACTGATTTTCCACTATTTACCAAAGATGAAGCAACAGGACGGATAGAAGCATCACATCATCCTTTCACTGCTCCGCATCCCGATGACTTGCCACTTTTGCTCAAAGATCCATTGAAGGTACTCATGTTTACTATTTGCAACATCACCTTCTTGTCTCTCAAGCAAATACAAATGCCTATAATTGCGTATAATTTTTTATTTTAACAACAACAAGGAGCATGCCTGAATGCAGGTTTATTGGCTGAGATAAAAGATACAGAAATATTAGGTACCTGTTTTTTCATTTTTTTAAGTGAAGAACTTTTAATTTATTCCTTGGACTTGAAGATTTTTGAATGGAATTGCTGTTGGTCCTGAATTTTTCTCAAACTTTCAATCTTGTTTGTAAAAATAAATAAAAAAATATGTGAAAAAAAAAGTCAATCTCTCTAGCGTTAAAATGGTTGGCTTTCATGCAGGATCCATCGAATAATAATCTGATTATTTACCACAGACCTTATTTTTCAGGTTCGTGGTCAGCATTACGATTTGGTGTTGAACGGTGCTGAAATTGGAGGTGGTTCAATCCGAATTCACAATCATCGACTGCAACGTCAAGTCCTGGAACAGATTCTGAACATTCCAACTTCATCCCTTGAGCATTTATTAGATGCTCTGCATTGTGGATGTCCTCCCCATGGTGGCATTGCCCTAGGTTTGCATAACTTCCTTATCTTGCATAGTTTTTGTTTCGTTTAGTCATGCACCGGCCAAATGCTTCTCATCAGACTCACCTTTCATAATCATAGCCTTACATTTATTGATTTATCAAGTAGAACATCCTTTTTTTCAATCCATTTAAGATAAGAGGTAGGTCTCATTTGAATCAATGTAAAATCTGTTCAACTTCTGGTGCATTTTTCTCAGAAACTTTTAGACCCACAAGCTTGAAATTTTGAAGGCATGTTAATATGATTGTAGGCTACACTGGCTACAACCACAAACTGAAAACCTGTTTTCATGAAGGTTCCTCTTTGAAAGTTGATGTTTGAGTACATTTTTTTTGCAGTTTTTCTGAGCTGTATTTTAGTAAAAAAAAAGAAAAAAAAAGTTTTGCGTCTTCACTTTTAACTCCAGTTCCGCCTATAGCCCTAATTTCGAGGAAAATTTTAAAACAAGTTTATGAAGTTAGCCTTTTTAGTCTTCGAGAAACATACACCAGAGGGTTAAAAACACTTACTTTAAAAATCGCGGAAGGGGGGGGGGATTAACATACCTAGATTGACCTTGATGAGTGTTTTATTATTAAAAAGTTAAAGTTAAAAGAGTGGTTTTCAAAATATAGAATGTTATACATTATTTTAAAAGCAAAAACGTCTTCTATTAAAGCAGACAGAAACAAGTCAAATTTTTTCATTTGGAACCTACTTCTTACCTTAAGAGCGAAAATTTAAAAGGAGATTCTAAAACTCTAAAACTGAGAAGTGCTCTTTTTTGCACCCAAGTCCTCAGTTAATCTTGAGATTTCCTCCAGGTTTCAACATACAGATTTTCAGATGACAGCATCTTCATTAAATTGTGTCTATAATACTCATCTCCAGATCACAAATAACGATTATTAAACTACTTTATTTTTGTTTGTTTCTGTGCCTAGGCCTTGACAGATTGTTGGCAATTATCTGTGGGGAAAACAGTATCCGTGATGTCATAGCGTTTCCCAAAAGTTTTGAGAGCAAAGACCTCATGGTTGGAGCTCCTTGCGATATTTCAGTAGAAGATAAAATTTACTATCACCAACCAAATTTTCAACAGGAAGTGAAAGACTATGGCCCTGAGGATGAGATAGTACAATAAGGTACCATTGTGCCTCCGTGTAATTAGCTATTTGTTTTTCTTGTACATAAAAACCGTGTAATTACTAAGAGGTAATCATCGTTGACTTTTTTTTAAATAAATAAATATGTGTATTTTATCCTTAAAAAGACTACAATAATTGTTTTCTCTTTCATAAATTGAGTCATTTGATATTGAAACTTTCTAGAAGTTAAGTCATACAGGAGTAGAGAAGGAAGGTGATTTTATTTTAAAAAATTTATCCATTTTTTGACGTTTGTGCAAAATCTTCAAGCAGGCAGTAGAGGTTCTCCCAAGAGGTTCTTTATAGAAAAGACTTATTCCTCAATTTTTTGTTCTTGTTTCAGGTTTTAACATTAACTGTTACCATTATCTTAATGACTCCATCAAAGAGCCCCGCAATCTTAGCTATCACTACTTAACAGATTTTACAATTTTTTTCTCTTTCTTCATTATTATGTGTACAAGATATCTGACTTCCCAAATTTTCCTTATAATTCGTCTGTAAAATGTATGCTATTTTCACCAGATGGTATGCTCAAAATGCTCCAAAAAACTCAGAATATTGGCCAAACATTACTATTTTCAAAAAGGTCCCACACATCTTGCTAGGAATTCTTGTCGCGGCAACAGGGCACCATGCGCTTGTATGCGAAAGTCATATTGGCCCCTAAAAATCGTGGCTGGCTCCGAAAAAATTCGGCTTGCCTGCCTAAATGGCTCCTAACGAAATTTCACCTCGAAGTTGCATCACTGTTTTTCATCGTTTTGCAATTTAAAGAATAAACCTGACAGGTAGATATGTGTACAGACAGAATACCTACTTATTGAGACGGAGATCTGATTAGAATTGTAACTTAATAAAAAGAGAGAGGTGAGGCCTCTATTTGATTGAACACTTTTGTTTTATTACAAAGGCACATTTTTGTAAAACATTAATCATTGCCTGAACAATAATGGACTAAATTTTTACATAATAGCATTTTTGTAGAGTTCAAGCCTCCTAGAAATTTATTTTACCTTTTTCTGTTCATTCACAATATTAAGCATGTTCTTTAGCCATCTAAAACCAAATTGTTCTTAGATGAGATTGAGACGAATTTTTTCCTGCCAAGAAATATCAGAGCATATAAGGAAGAAAGCGGCTATTATTGTTTGTCTATTTTTAATTTCTTCCCTATGCTTCTGAGGAGACAAGATTATAACAAAAAATTCAAATATAAACGTGTGAAATCAGAGGGTCGACATGAGACCAGTTCACAAGAAGTTATACAATCGAGCCGAGTTTAAAGCCGATTTTCTCTGAAAGCCTATTCCTCACTAGCATTACTTTTTTTTTTAATAGGGCAGAATTTTTAATCATTTTCATCGAATTCTCCGTCAATTTAAAAAATCCCGCTTACGAGAGAGAAGAGATCTCTCAGCGAATCACCGTCCGGTAAAATCGAGGCGGTCCATTACCGATTGTTGATTGGTCTAGTTAACTCGCGTGAGTCTGCTTTCAAATTTATTTATTTATGTTTCTCAATTCGGAAAGTTTTTCACCAACCGAAAGAATTTGGTGATAAATTAGTGCGGTATACGTCCCAAAATAAAAACTTCAGTATTGATTTTTTAATCTGGTTGCCACAATATTTAGTTACTTCAACTCCATTCATTACAAAATAATTGTGATAGCACTTGGCAACTGTGCAGTTTGTCCCCTGTCCGTGGCACAATAACAAAACATTATTCCTCAGTTAGTAATCACTAATCAGTATCACCGTTCCGCCTCTGCGGCTTCTTCCACCGACATTCAATCGGATTTTCCAGTTTCATCTCTCCAATGAAATATCCGTGCGTTCAGTGTCGATCATATCCCGATAGCTTGTAGTAGTTTCCTCGATTTCTATCAAAGTTTGTTGACTGTCAACCGCGTGTTTCAACCAGGTAGTTCTTATCAGCTCACACCTTCACCATCATGCATCTAAATATTACCCCTTTATAGTCTTCAGAGAAGATTACTAATTCAGCGTATTTCTCAAGTTGTTTCGGTTTCTAATAATAATCCCATCATGTCGAAAGTAACGGTGGTTCTTGGTGCCCAGTGGGGTGACGAAGGCAAAGGCAAAGTTGTTGACATGCTTGCAGTTGAAGCCGATCTTGTCTGCCGCTGTCAGGTAAGGAATTTTATCATCCTGCAGTTTTCCATGAATACACGCATTCTTTTATTTGAGCATGCTGATTTTACCTGAGCGAATCAAGAAATTTATTGTCATCACTTTGTTTAGTCCACGCCTCTTAACTGCACTCATCCATGTAACCTTGTATCGGTGAACACTAGGTATCTAGGATTTTGGGAGAGTCTATGCCCAATAAGTCTACTCTTTACATGAGTGTGACAGCTGATCTGCCACTTTATCTTATTGTCAAAATGAAATGCCAAAATCATCATGGAAGACATTCTGTCTCACAATGGAAGAGCATTGAAATTTAGGTACCTATTTGAAATGGATTCTGAAAATCTATTGCCTTCTTCTAAGATCTATTTCATAAATCTCATCATTATCAAAACTACATTATGAACAGCTCCGGATCCTGAAGATTGTTTTGGGTACAGATAACAACTTTTTGTTGACTTTAAGTAATTAAATATCGACAATGAAATTGCAAAAATGTATACATAATCTGAGTCGCGATCTATCAAAATCATCAGTCCTATTTTATTTTTCTGAGAGGTTGAACACACAGTGTGTATCGTAGCTTGATAGATTATTCTCCAACTTTAGAAGGAAAATCACCAAATTTCAAGATATGACATGTCAGTGGTAGTGTTTGATGGAGAAAATACCTAGATTATGACAGGAAGTTTCAACACCGCTAACTGAGATACCATCGCATTTCTGCAGTTTCACCATCAATATGTACCGCCAAATTCAAGGTGAACGAATGTCCTCAAGTCGAATAAAGAAAGGTGGTCGCATTTCAAGCTGAGCTGTCATTTTAAAGGCTATGATGCGCAGAGGGCACATGCTTTGCCATGCAATCAGGATGTAGCCGAAACGTACCCGATGCTGTGTGACGTCAAGAGGGTATGAAATGCGACCACCATTTATATCCGCCTTGGCATGTCCTAACTCACACATATGAATGCCCATCTCCATCGCGATGTTGTAAAATCTCCGATTATTGTTTATTTCTTTGAAAGGAATGAAATTTATTTTCAGTAATTCAAAATCAATGGATAGTGCTTTGAAGTTAGTACCTGGGCTCTTGACAGGTAAACAAGTTGGAAAAAGAGAGTTGGTGAGACCAAGGGGGCTCTGCTCCACACTTTCGGGGTTCAGTATTTTCGACAGTGATGAGCTGACTCCAGACCCTCTGTTATTGATCAAGGCTAACATTTTCTATGCTCTCTGCTTTTGCGATAAAGTAATTTCAAGTTTCGTCAGGAACCTCGACTTTTAAAATTAGTACCCCCATTTTACATCCAAAAGGGGCCAAGGGATCTTCAGGGTGATGGTTTTTGAATTCCTTGAGGTTAGTATTCTTTTTGACGGTGAAGACCGCGTTCATTCAAGGACTTTTGAAAGTTACATTAATTAAATTACTCACTTGTACATTACTTTATGCCCAGTCGGGCGCGTTTCGGTCGCCTCGTGCGGCTGAACAAAGAAACGTGCAAGTACTGCAAGTGAGTATATTGGTATTCTTTTCTTCCCCACAGTCCCCGACCGTATCCAACCTGAAATAACCGAGATAAAAGCTTAGTACTGGGCGTTCTGGATCACCCCGTATATGTTCGGGCCACTGAAATTTCGCTAAAAATTTGCATTTATTTTTTTAATTTACATTTTTATTATTTTTTGTTTCTCATACCCATAGGGGACGGGGTGGGGGTACATAAATTTCAATCATTTTGATACCGAGAGGAACGTAAGAACGAAATATTAACAGCTTTATAATGCACAATGCATCTCTCAAAATTGACCCCCCCCCCTTCTCACCAATCGATTTTAAGAGCATCCCTACCACTGGTTATACAAGTCAAGTTTTTCTGAAAAATTGCTGCCCAGTGAAGAATTTGCATACAAATTTATTATTGCTTCATCTAAAAGTGCTTAAATAGCTGATTTCACAGTTTTTTTTAATAATTTTCTTCTGATGTGGGAAAGAGCGTAAAAATAGATTTAAAAGTGAGAAAGTGCACCACCTAGTGACGTCATCTGGCGGCATTCCCCATTTAGACACTCGTATTTTAGCAGATTAGATCATTTTGTCATATCTTCTCCGATAATTGTTCAATTCATGAACCAAGGGTATCCTCGTGTTCAGTTCACTCAGTAGTTTCCACTTGAACACAAAATTCATCAAACAGACACCTGCAAATTCTCTGTTGCCTCAACAACATTGTCCAAAGAACACTCACTTAGAGGGTGGATTCTCTCTCATCTGATAATCTTTCCCACACGTGGCGTGCATTTCTTTTCATTGTCAGAGCGACCATGCCCTTTAAACCTAGAGAGAAAGAGAGATCAAGGGTGGCACGCGGTCTCGGGCGCGAAGGCCTTTAGAGTCTCCGGAACGGTTGGCAAAAGCCCCCGTCTTAGATCATCTTGTCACCACCTGCTCGAGTACTTAATATAGACCGTTTCAAATCCACGTCAGGGAGGTAAGATTACTGATATGCACCCATCGGCAGTACTGAAAAATATTGCGTCACTGTTCACCGCTCAGAATCGGATCCGTTTTCCTAACGAAGAATGTCGAATGTCTTCCAGGACGTTAGTCTCCTCTTCGTCGCTCTTAGGTTTGAAATTGTAGGGCCGCAGCCCACAGTTTAGAAGGGCATATATGTGATCCATTTCAACTATCAAAGCATTTTTCAGAAAATTGGCGGTCATCAAAATCAGAAGCCCAGTAATAAATTCATCGGCGCAATGGGCGACGTTAAACTTAAATTTGGACGTAAAAGAGAGACAAGCAAAGCATCCGCATTAGGTATCGCATGCAACGAACACTGAGCGAATCACATCATAACGCCTGGATGCAACTATTCGAGCTCTACGGATGTCCGTGTTGCATACGCACCGAATTGAAGGCGTTTTGACTCTCTTCACTCACCACCTTACCCGTGGCGGCGCGGTGTGGCAGCGGGTAGTATACGTCACAGCGCCTTCAATTATTTGTTTATGTGATAATATTTTGTGAATACATCCAATACGCATGAATAGTTGCACACATGCGTAAGATGTGAGTATTTTTTGGCCTCAGGTTTGATAAACCTATATGCTCGGCATGATTTGTAAAGCAACTGTCCAGACACTCTACGCTTCACCCACGGTGCGGTGGCCGGTTTAATTATTCCTTAATGTTAAGAAGACACCTCTCAGATACAAATACTCGTGCATAGCCTACAAAATTTCTGGGAAAACCAGGGAATCTATTCCAGAAACTGGGAGTCTCTTCTTCTACCGCTCAAATAACATATTTGAATCTTCAAATCGTAGATTAATGGAGAAGCTTTCATTGACCAGACAACACATACGTCAAGAACGTTTTTGGGATTGAAAATTCGAATGGGCGTCCAAAAATCGGCTATAGTATGAAAAAAATCGATGTCCATATGTGGAACTCCGGAGAGTTATACTGCCATGCGAAGAACGCCGTATGTACATTCGAGAGTTGCCAAATTCCGTCAGATGAAAAATGGATTTTATAGGAAAGCTGTGAAGAGTTTTCCTTGAAATGTTGCGATATTTTAGATTAACCCTGGTAAAAATTAGCGATAGGAGCTGCGTTTCAAAATACCATAGGAGTTCTTATAGCCGACTAAAAATAGGCTATTGAAAATCATATAGCTGGCTGTAGAAAGCGGAGCAAATCATATAGCCGGGCTATACGAAGCTATAAAAAAGTATACAGTCGGGCTATAGTTCCTATCGCCGGGCTTTACACTTTATCGCCATTGGCTATGAAAGGCTGTAAGAAATTGTGTAGAAATTCGTGTGCTTTGGAAATCATTAAGTTTGATACGGAACTACCTTAATATTTACAAAACACACATTATATTTTTCTTTAAAACATATTTTTTTTTTCATCAGTTACAATGAGAATAGTCCATACAGAGTGTGCAAACATTTCAAAATCATGAGTTGAAAAACGCTGACTCCGCGAGATTAAATATATTAGAACCTAACACAAAGCGGAGCGGCGACGCACTGGCGCCTACAAACCTAACAGGGATACTTCACGCATTGCGCAATGCGTGAAGTATCCCTGTTAGGTTTGTAGGCGCCAAGCGAGTTTCGCGCTTTCTGCCCGCCCGCCACGCCGCGCCGCAGCGTGCCACGGCGTCTGAAGCAACTATTTCACACCAGAGGTATTGCACAGTATCATGAGAAATTGAAGGTGCTCCAACATATGAAGAATGACAGGCATCCTTCAAAAGTACGGAGCTTTCCGCGCAAAATAAATCAAGATGCTACGGCACAAAAAGAAAGCGGTAGTCCAAAAACTCACTAAGTCCTAGTATCCGTATTTAGTAACGTTTGGCATAAACTTTATCGTCTGGCTGTTGCTTAGTCGCCATCAGCTATAAAAGGCTTTAAAAAATTGTACAGCCGGCTACAGAAGCTATTGGAAATCTTACAGCCGGCTTTAGGTCTATGGTATTTTGGAACACAGATTCTACTGCCAATTTTTACCAGGGAAAGTGTGAACAAAATTGTCCGAAAAATTTGAAGAAAAATATCCAACAGCTTTCTTGAAAATTCGTATGTTTTCGGAGGACATTTGGCAACGCCTGATGGCTCATATGGCGTTCTTTCTTAGCACGGCAGTATGACCAAAGAAAATCCCGGAAAAATGGGGGGAAACCGTTGCACATCAGGGCTCTCCTGAAAAACAGGGGAAAACAGGGAATGAGCAAGGACAAGAATTTTAGACAGCATGGTCAAACTCTTAATATCTGTGGTAGAAAAGCCACCCCCCTCACCCCCCCCCCCCCCCTCCACGGCCGTCTCCAATAACGCCCTTAAGGGTAAACCACATTCATCGGTGTGTATCCTTACGTGCGCACAGGTCAACCGTTTTCCGTATCCCTGCGTAATGATAGTGTTACTGAGGGTCAGTAACGTCTGATGCCAGTCGCTTTCGACTTGCGGTAGCTTCAGCGCCGAGACAGTCGTCAGACATGCGGAGCATTCTCGTAAACTTGTAGCTTGCAACTTTGTAAGCTGACGCGGTCTAGTGAAATGTAACAAATAGGTCACGACCTCACCAAGTGGGAACGCATATCACACTCACTGGCTCGACCCAAGGTCATCGATAATAATAAGCGCGAAGCGCTAGACAAAATGTCTCATTTTAGTGTTGGACACCCCCGCCCCGGGACCGGACCCCCTCCCCACGCGAGATATACAATGTCACGGATCACGCTTCAATTAAAAATGTGGAAGTGCAGGTCTACGTGCGTGCCCTGGCGCTGTAGGGAATCGCGCTGCCAACACCGAAAATAAATTGCTCAAAAACGAATTTTTTAAAATATATCAATATCCTCTTTGATTTTTAGACAAGCTTTTTGAGGTGAAAAAATGATTTTTTTCTATTTATCTATTTTTACTGTATATTATTGATGTATTCACACAATAGGGCTGTATGGGAAATGGGATCGTATCGTAATGGTATCATATTTTAAATCCAAAGTAATATATTGCTGCAATATTGCCGCCGTTCTCTTTTCGCGGTGGGAGGTGTTCGCGATTATTTCACCGGACAAAAATTCTTTAAATTGTTTCTCTCTTCCCCCCGCCTTCTTTTCTTTCTCTTTCTAATACTGAACAGAGTGTCTAGCATCAGGATTTTCCCAATTTTTCCAGATTCTATCAGGATTTGAGGTCAATCAGGATTTAATTCCGATTTCATCAGGACTTGAGGAGAAACAAAGTCGGCCGTCCGATCGGATTTTTTCATATTTAGAAATTTTAATTATCTCTGCAAAAAATCAGGATTTTGAAAAATTATTAAATCAGGATATAGCAGCCAAAAATCAGAAAAAATCAGGATTTCCCATATTGAAGAAAACTAGACACCCTGTCGAAAATATTTTGCTGCTGGTTATAAATGTGAAAACCGATTTTTCGAATGGAGCAGGCATAATGAGGAGAAACTTAAAGAGTCAGTTCTTCAACTTTGCAAAATTATATTGAAAAATGCCCATACTCGGAAAAAGGACAATCATCATTTCATAGACAATCGAATTTGCAATTTGTCAGACAATGCCTACTCTGATCAGCGTATTTTTGCCTGTGGATGGAAAAAAACAGAAAATACAGGTTCTACTAGTAGAATAGTTAAGCTGCTAAACTTTTCGAAGACTGGGGGAATCTTGTATGTTCAAATTAATTTTCTAGATCGGCTGGTTTTTGTCTATTTTTTTCTTTTCTTTCATTCGAATTCTAGAATTCCTGCTCACGTTATTTTCTCGGAAAAAATCAGCTTTTTTGTTTGGAACGTAGGGATACGAGGAACTATCGACTAATCTAAGGAAAACTACACAGGAATAGATAACGTATGGCGTACTTATTTTACATACCTACCTACCTTAACTTTTAATCCCGACATTATTTTCGCATCTGTTCATTTTCCCTCTCAATTTGCGGTTTTTTGTAAAGTGCTCATGGAAATTAAAATATAAATAATGGAGCTATTTCTCTGGTATTCGTTTCAGGGTGGTAACAATGCAGGTCACACCGTCGTTGTCGATGAGAAAGAATACGACTTCCACTTGCTGCCTAGTGGCATGGTCAATCCCAAATGCAGCAACATTATTGGTGAGTTGAGTTTCTCTGTTATTTTCCTCCTGATGATATGCTGATTTTTGGCGATTATACCAAATTTGCGCGACGCAATTGGCCAGATTCTGATTTACCGCCCCATTTTAACTTCCAATATGATCATGGAAACACAATCGTAGGTAGGAACAGGAAGGTTGCTTTTGGTGCATGCAGACGAACTTATTATTGAAACTTTTGTCAGTATGGTGGTACGTCGAAAATCAATATCGATGGCTAAAGTGCGAACTCATGTATATCTCCATTGTGATGTTTTCAAATTTCCCATCATATTTTATTATTTCGAAGAAAAACGAGGCCACTGTATAATTTAAAGTTCATACTGAATATACTCCTAACAGAGAAGATAAATCACAGAGGTTTTCAATAGGTTATGTTGACTGGTTTTTTAAAGAAAGTATAAAGAATGCCTACAACGTCGCAAGTGGCGATACGTGGTTTCGCACTTTCGCCATCGATTTCCACGTAGTTCAAGCAGTTACGTCCATTTGGGCCTTCGTATGCGGTGTGACGCCCTTCTTAAATTGGACGCCAACATTACCAACATTACGCCAATTTCAAAATGAAACCCAAGTTGGACTAAGACTTCTCACTTGACCAGTATGACCCGGGTGTCTCGAGAAATTTTACACCGGATAATGCGCTCGGTCGCAATTATTCCGAGCTGCATGCGCGGAATTTATTGCACGCGCCTGGATAATTGAAAAATGAGACGGAGGAAGGAGGAGTGGAGAGGAGGAAATTAGTACGCATTAGAAAAGTATTAAGTATTGTGCGTTGTCAAGTCGCCGAGGCTCACTCCACGATTAATGAGAAGAGAAAAGCCTTTTAAATGCTCGACTTTTTGAAACATTCGGCATCTCTACGAGACTGAGGTAGCGTCACGTGACACGAGTCGCCGCGCATTTATGTGAAAAGAGATCAACTAGTCGGCAATCTGCCGCTGCGCGTCAAGTGATAGCGATTATTACCTGACTAATCAGTGATGTCATTTTGAGACACCCCCCATTGATTATTCGATGATTGCGACGGAAATGAGACTTATGGTATTTGTTCTGTCTCGTCGCGGCTGGGGGGATTTTTTGGCAAACGCCAGTTTGCGGGACCGAATTTCGATGGCCGAAGTACGGAGCCGGTGGCGTGGCGTGCCTTGCGATATATCAATTGTTATGCCATTTAAACCTATGGAAAAGGATCGATAAACAGGGTGTTCGCAGCGAACTCCTTAATAATCGATTCTTTACCATAGGTTTAAATGGCAAATGAATCGATATGTCGCAATTCACGCCACGCCACTGCGACGGAGCCACGTATCTCCGTTTGCAACGTTGCAGACTTCCGGTTTTACTATTTGTTGTTTCCTCGGAAAACTAGTCAACGTAATCCCTTGAAAACTTCCTTGATTTTCCTTCTCTATCACCAGAATATTCTGTTAACATTTTAAGTTACGAAGTTGAATCGCTTCTCCTCGAAAAAAAGGGACGAATATTTTGGAACGCTACAATGGAGATACGTGGTATCGTACTTTAGCCGGCGATTTGGTATGAGGCTCTATACTTTAGTCACGACCTAGGGGCGCAAACTTTTTGAGACCTCTTTCAGAAACGTCGATACCTATAATACCAGGGCCGGATTTACCTACATGCCGCCCATGGGCCGCCTGTGCCCCCCCCCCCCCCCNCCCCCTTCTCACTTGTTTTGAAACATCAATAGATTGTATTCGACAGTGGTTCGATGTATCGTTTAGTTCAAAACAATAGAACATAACCTCAACCGAAAATTTTAGGATTTAATTTGGAAAAGCTGAAAATGAGAAAATTCCTAACAATTTCACTTCTCATTGCCATTTGGTACTCGAGAGAATAAAAATTCGATCACACAAGACCCGTTACCTCAGATTTCTAAATTGACTTTTGAGGCTTTGGCTACATATTGAACCCACCGATATCAATATAATCTCACCCGTGTGATCTGTCGAATACGATCTATAAAAACCATCAAGTGAACGTGCCGGTGGGGGAGGGGTGTACAAGACGCGTTTACTCGTGTTGGGCACATTTTTTGTAAAATCCCTGTCGACTATAACAAGAGTTCAGTTCCGTAAACCCACCCCTGTTTGGATAAGGCCTGCCATTTATAAAAAAGAACGAAAAAATTATGAAAGAACAAACATAAATGTGGTTACAAATTTTAACTTCCACCGCCGCGCAGACCGTACTGTGTTGGCGCAATGCGTGAAGTATTCAAGTAGTCTTGTAGGCGCTATGCGTTTCAAGCCGACTGCTGCTGACCACAGTGTGTTTGACGCAATGCGTGAAGTATTCATGCAGTCTTGTAGGCGCTATGTGTTTCATGCCGACCGCCGCGCCGCTCCGTTCCAGGTCAAATTGCTGTTTGGTTTCTCTCTTAACTCGACTAATTAAAGGTGTTGTCTCTTGTATCACCGAAAGACGACAAAATTAGAAAGTACCATACTTTTACTCTCAGGAAATGAGAGATTTTGTCGCCTTTTCTCGTTTGTAATTTATTTTCTGATTCCGATGTTTTTCTCTCATTTTTGGATACCTACATTCAAAAAGATTGCAAAATTTGCCGCCCCCTAAATTTTGCCGCCATGGGCCGCGGCCCATGTGGCCACCCCCTTAATCCGGCCCTGTATAATAATACCTATGTATACCTATGTATTCAAACATTTATTTTTCGAGTCTTCAATCACTTTTTATTTCTCAAATCAATTTTTTTTCTGGCGTCAGTATTTCCGCCAAGAAAAAACGATTTTTTTAAAGGCGGATTCCAATTATGTTCTTCGGAATTTCACCCTTATAACTTCCTCTTTTTCTTGGAAGGAAAGGAGAGGGGAGGTCTGCCCTTCCCCCTCGCAAGCGCCTACTTTTAGGGCGCCAACCAGAGTTCAACCTCGGGCGCAAAAAATGTAAATCTGGCACTGCCGCTTTGATACTTTGTAGTGGAGTCAAGGCAAAGGGATTTAAGTTGCGGGGTCACATGTGACTTAATCTTTTTGTTGAAGTTTCTCACGAGGAACAGCTAAAAATCGGAACAATTTTTTAAAAAAAATTCCGAATTTTCCATTTCCCCTGCGGCTCGAGCGAACTGGATGTTGGGTTAAATTTCAAAAGTAAATCACTTTGGTGTACCTAGTTACTTACGTGGATTTTCCTTGCAAACAAGCGAAAAAATTGGGTTGTGCCATGATTATCCTGAGAACTTCACGGTGTATTTTGCATCATACAGACTTATTTATGGATTGCATTTTGCAAAAAAGAAACCAAGAGCAATCCAATGTTGCCAAGATTATGTGCAACTTGCATTATTAGCAATAAAATCACTGAAATTATGAACAAAAATTAAATTTACAAAGGTAGTTTTCGTCTTGAAATTATAGTTTATTGTGAGTATACCTAGGCTAACGTTGTTTAGATGATCAGTTTATATTTGCAAGGTAAAAAAAGTTGCACAATCCTAACGACATCGGAATGCTCATGGTTCCTTTTTGCAAAATGCAATCCATATTACCCTTAGTATTATCACAAATGATAGGATTACAGCGATGCATTTAGCTGAAATACGCTTCCACGCGGGGGCAAAATCAGTATGCGATTTTCAGGCAGTCGACACTCAACAATGATTTATTTACTTACACATTACGCAAACAGCATAAATGTAATATTCTAATTTTGTGTTGCATCACTTTGTTAACTATCAGGATTTCTATGTCTCGCTCAACGACTAACCTGTGACGAAAAACTCGCGGAAAATGCGCAAAAATGTAAAGAGGGGGGTTAAATTTTCCTCTAAATGGCTTTATTGAAAGGTACCGGAACCTTATCTAACCACCTGTTATTATTGTTTTCTAGGGAATGGCGTTGTTGTTCATCTACCAGGTCTTTTCGACGAAGTGCAGAAAAATGAAAACAAAGGGCTAACAGGCTGGGAAAAGCGGCTCCTAATATCAGATCGCGCTCACCTTGTCTTTGATTTCCATCAAGTGAGATTTATTTGAGTATTTTTTCCCTTAAGATCTCATACTAGGTTTGGAAGTTAGTTTTTCAGCCAACATCGATGGTGAAACTGCAGAAATGTGTACTGTGGACTCTCGATAATTCGAAATTGAAGGGAATCGGCTTTTTCTTCGAATTAGCGAGGTTTCGAAATAAAGAGAGTTCGAATTAAAGAGATTCATTTGGAGAAATTTCGAATTAGAGAGGTTCGAATATAGAGAGGCAAATGGATGGATTTACGTCAAACGGAACCAAAAATATCAGTTTATTTCATTACGGAGGTAAAAATTACACTAAGTTTATTATTAAGTATTAATTATTTATATTCAATTTTAAAACTTTTAATTACATGTTTACATTTTGGCAATCCTATCAGCTCTTTCAGACACCTAGGTACATAAACAGTTGACTTCGAATTGTAGAGGGAATGTACCGTCTTATTTCGAATTATAGAGGGAGGACTATATTTACTTCCCACACTTCGAATTACAGAGAGAATTTTCGTCGCAATTTCGAATTATAGAGGGCCGCGCCAGCTTAAAAATTTCGAAATAACGAGGGGAGAAAAATGCATTGATTTTCTTCGAATTATCGAGAGATTTTCAAGGGAAACGGACTTTCCTTCGAATTAACGAGGTTTTCGAATTATCGAGAGTCCACTTTATCTCGCTTTGTGATGTCACGGACCTCCTGTCATACTTTATTTCCTACATGGGAAACCACCGAGCTTCATTTCTTGAAAACCATGGTGATTTTTCTTCTCTGTGTGAATATTCTGTGAAAATGTTATGCCATGGTGTTGGTTCGGTCTCTGTTTGAATTATAAATTAGGAACGGAAGTTTTGAAATACCGCAGCCAAGATGCTCATTTGCGCAGTTTCACTGTTGGCATGTCTTAAATTGAAATTGAAAGATGCATGAAAATTGAGCTCAAGTGAAATTGAATGTTAGCCCAAAATTGTGTGTAGCATAATAACTTAACAAAATCTTTAAAAACCAACTCACGATTCACATTTTGAAAACTCAGGTGAAATGAAGGAGGTACCGAAGTAGATTTTTTGTTTTTTTAAGAAACTTTAAGAGTCAAAAGTCTATAGGCTTCATAAAAGCGTCTATCTTCTCCAGAAAATCAACGTAAATGATTTATTGTTTCTGTTTCGAGCTGAAAAGATGGGTCTCTTTTTGCGTAATGCTATCTTAATGTGCTATTTTTTCCACCTTGGGATTAAAAGTCCTCCTGTGCAATGTTTTAACCATTTGCTGCTTCAAATGTATTAGAGGAAAGGGGAAAGAGGCACTTGAATTCAAACTGCTTCCATCAACCTATTAATATTTCTTAATTAATTTCTTGTTTGTTTCAGAAAGTGGATGGCCTGCAAGAACAAGAGAAAGGTAGCATGTCTCTAGGAACAACGAAGAAAGGAATTGGACCTGCATATGCCTCAAAAGCAACCAGGAATGGGATACGAGTGGCTGACTTGCTCGGAGATTTTGATGCTTTCTCTGAAAAGTAATTTTTTATTTAAAACTTAAATAGGTGGATTGAAAGATTGCCTTGCCTCTGTTGATCAAAACTGCACCCAGAGCTTTCGACCTTTTATATCATGGTGCGTTGCATTTATGAGAACTGCAGATAAAATTTTACTCTGTTTAGTTCTTCCTTGCCTGAAGGTGTGTTCTTATTTCCTGTTGACTTAAGTACTAAATGTAGGCTCTCATTCAAACATTTTTTTCTGGGGTCTTTTTCTATTAATCATTTTACCTGATTGCTCAACAAGTGGAGCGTTTTCATTGCAGCAATGAAGGGTTGAATTTTTCATTTATTTATCTTCTTTTCTTACATCAGATGCTAATTTTTATAGTCCATTGAATACGTTATGGTTAGATTGTGTAGACAAACTAAATTTTCAGCAACCATATTCACAGGATCAACTGAAATTGATAAAGAGGAACACATATGTTTCTTATTTCATCTCTCAAGTAGTTATGTCAAGAAATTAATTCATTTTAATCTTATTAAAGTTGTGTGTGTAAGGAAACACAATTTATTGTGTGCATTGGTGAGGTTATTATATACTTTGATGAATATTAATAAAAGGAGTATCATTAACTTTTCCCTTTCTGCTATTGTTAATATACTGCCTGTGTGTCATTTTAGATTGAAAGCAATCATCAAGTCCTACAGAAGGATGTTCCCAAGCCTGGAAGTAGATGAAAATGACGAATTAGAAAAATACAAAAAGTATGCAGAATCCATCCGCCCCTTGGTCATTGAGACGGTATCCTACATTCACAGTGCTCTGCGCGATGGGAAAAAGGTTCTCGTTGAAGGAGCCAATGCAGCAATGCTTGATATTGATTTTGGTAATTTTGATTTACTGAATTGAAGTCACACATGATAATGATCATAGCCAGTGGGGAAAGAGGGAAAGCCAGGGAGAGGAAACGTGCAACCATTAGTTGTAAAATCCCTTAAAAGATTGGAAGTTTTTGAATAGCTTCATGGTGCTCCGCTTCTGAACCCCTATAACACTATTTCTCTGTATGTAATGAATTTTTCCCTTGTAAATTCGAGCCCCCTCTAGACTGTAAATGTATCTAACGCTGAGCTATGTTTTTCCGTGCATTTCTTTTAATTTAACAAAAGATCAGAGAGATCTAGAGAAACGAAGGAAGACAGAAAACCCAAGGGTCAGCTAAAACCTGGACTGTTACGGGGAGAAGGGAGAGAAAATTTTGCCAGGCTAAAATAATTAATATTAAATAATCAAATAATAATGTTTGTAATAATTATTAACAATATTGCTTCCGCACGTTCTTGTCTTATGCTGTAATTATTAATAATATAATAATTTTAGAAATTCATTTTGCTAAAGGCATAAGGAGGAAGTATTGAGACTTGACTCACACTGTAAAGACCCTTGTATGACACCAGTATCTTGAACTATTGCACTTAGGAAGGAATTTTTTTAAACTCCTTACGCAGTGAAACTCCATTTGAACAAATGCAAGCAAATACAACTGTCCAAAATATAGGAAATAGTCTTCCTTCATCTATAGCTGTATGTTATTTTTTTCAGGAACTTACCCTTATGTAACGTCATCCAATTGTAGTATAGGCGGTGTTTGCACAGGACTAGGAATACCACCATCGTCGATCGGAGAGGTTATAGGAGTTGTGAAAGCATATACAACTCGTGTAGGTGATGGACCATTCCCCACAGAGCTAACAAATGTGAGTACAAATGTGCAAATGTGTGTGGGGCATTGTAGTTAAATCCAGCCAAACCCTCTAAGTAAAGTAGAATTTTTGCCATTTATCATAGATATACGCAGAGGAATTTTTGTGGATAGGCTACATAAAGAAAATCTAGGGTATGAAGAAAGTCTTGGATCCTCCTATCTTCCCTCTAAGTGAATGAAGTTTGAAAGAACTTCCCTGTAAATTCTGGTTACTTTTTACCCCCTTAAATTCCCAATGGAAGATGCATCGTTGGTAAAAACTTTCTTTTAAAAATAATGAGTGTTTATAACATGTTTGAAATAATTAATAGTGCATTTTGTTTGCTGAATGCAAAAATAAGTATCTCAATAGCAACGTTTAAAAATTTCCAATTAATCATTATTCTCCTTTGGGAAAACTGCCCCCTCACACTCACAGCCTTAACAATTCATGTTTGTAGCATTTTCATTTAGTGAAAGGGCTCTATTGAGATTCTTTGTTCTTTTTCCCATATCTAGTATGTATGACGAGTCTTCTCATTTCCAGGAAATTGGTGACAAGTTGCAGTCGATAGGTCACGAGATCGGAGTAACGACAAAAAGAAAAAGGCGTTGTGGCTGGCTTGACATACCTCTGCTGTTGTACACTACCATGGTCAATGGCTACACAAAGTGAGTACTTATCAATACTATCATGCAGGAACCTTTACCTAGAATGCAGCATTTAAAACTTTTCTATCTAATAGACCAGTAAGAAGGGTAAAATTTAAAATGGAATAAGTGACCATCGATTTTAGAAAGGATTTCAATTCATGGAGAAAAATTTTCAGCCTCAAGATTACTTAATTTGCACACAGTTGGTCATCTCGAATCCTTTCTGTCAGAAGTTGTTATCTCTTAAGTCCCCAGGATGAATGACATGGAAGGACCATCAGATATGATGAGTAGGTACATTGGTGCCTGCAGACTAGACCACACAGGTATGGTAGACACTGTGCAGGATGGTTAACTCAGGGAATTAACCTGCAGTGAATATTTGTAGGGAACTGGCTAGAGGCAGGGTTGGCCTTGACAAATCGTCCCAGAATCGTCGATGAGTAACAAACGTATAACAATTTTACCCCAGCCATCATTCAGATGACATTAACCAAAATTAGCCTATTTCTTGCCACCTGATCCTATGATAGGTAGCTGTATCACTCTTTCTTTTCATTCTTTGATATTCTCTCAAATTGTATTGTTTTAAAACATACCTAAAGAATACACTGCCTTGAAACTATCTGTGAGTTTCCTGCATCTCATGAAGAAATTAACCACAAAATTCCATATTAGAATCGTTCTTGGTTTTCTATAAAGTAAAATAATTAATGAGAAGATATTAAGAAATGTCTGAGGTAGTAAGGCTGACTCTGCTTGAATCAATCTGCCTGTTTCACAAATTAATTTTTTGCTTTTTTTTCTGTTTTCCTCCTCCAGGATTTGCCTTACAAAACTTGATGTTTTGGATACATTTGAGGAAATTCGGATTGGTGTAGTTTACATGAAAGGTGAACAGGTTTTGGAATATTTTCCGTCAAATGCATCAGAGCTTAAGAGCATCCGAGTGGAGTATTTGACATTGCCTGGCTGGAACACAAGCATAGAAAATGTTCGTGTGTATGACGACCTCCCTCCAAATGCTAAACGTTATGTTGAAACTGTCCAAGAACTTCTGCAAGTTCCAAGTAAGTTCACAATGACTTTTCCTGAGTTTTTTAAGCAATATTTTCCTCAGTTTTCAATTTTTCTTCTCCTGTTTTTCCATTTTTCCATCGTGAGATTTTTGTGTTTTTTTTTTTTTTTTTTCACTGATACATCAAGGTCCTAAGAACGTACAAAAATTAACGAAAAAGGAAATAAAACAAACAGGAGTCCGAGGTAACAAACTGTGAGCTAATAAATGAAACAAAGAAAATTGGAAAATGAAAAAACTCAATTTCAAAAAATTTAATATGTTTCTTTACTTAATTTTTTAAAATCAATTTTTTTTTTTCTCAAAGTTAATTTTAAATTTAAAAACTCGAACTCACAAAGTTTAAATTTGTGAGCTTTGAGTTTTCTTCAATTTTTCAATTTTCTGCATTTCATTAACTAAAGAACGTGCCTGAACTATTGTGTGTTGTTTGAAGTAGATAGTGAGACTAGATCTAGAGTTAAATATGTTGATGGTTCTTATCTAAAAAAATACACACAACACTAACATAGCATTGGCGTCTTAAGACAGGTAAAATTTCTTAGCTTGAGTTACTGAAGATTTACCTTAAGTTTTGCCACTGTTAATTATTAAACATAAAATTTTACTTCGGAACTTGCTCACTTTAATTTTTTCCGTTCAATTGTTGCAGTCAAATACATTGGAGTCGGCAAAGGTAGAGAATCGATCATTAGTGTATCCTAAGGAGCAGTGCCCTGAAGTTACCAAGCTTTTTTGTTCCTTCAATCTAGTTAAGTTTTGAAGTCTAAGCTGTTGTGTATTGCGTAAGTAAAACTACAATTTTACCCAAAATTCAGAATGCTCTTTCAAAGGCGTTTCCTGAAGTTCAAGTTGCATAGTTTTGGTAAAATGCACACTCTCAGAATGCCTGCAGAAAGACAACAACATGAAAAAATAGTTCCTTTTGCAGCAATCAGTAATTTTTTCCCTCTAATTTTGAGAACTTATAGGGCTCTCTTTTCCTCCTCTTTTTGGAAAAAAATATGATTCTCAATTTTGCCGCAGAACAAGAGCATTTCTGTATTCTCATCATTGACTGCAGAAAGCAGGATAAAAACACCCAAGCCTCAAATTCATAGTTCAATGATAATCTTCTCTGATGTGTCCAGCTATTGTTTATTTCTAAGTTTTTGTTGACTTGAGGACCCAACAACCAAATTATGATTTTGTCCCTCTCTGAGCAGTGAGTGCAAGAATAGTGGTATAGTGTACCTTGTCACACTCTATAAGTGTGAGAAGCATGAAAAATTCAACGCATGTTGTCTCAAGTATAATGTCTCCCCAAAGTGGAGGCACAATACAGGAAATGGCTATGCATTTTTTTCGGTGCAAGCAAGTACTCTTAGTCCATTTTTAGTGAGAGGAAATGTACATCAATGTCCTCATCCATTAAAATGGTGAAACACTGAAAAATGATTGCTAAGTCGTAGGTCTGATTGGGAGTTTTGGTGAGTCAATGCTGAGCATTCAGGCCCTTCAAGCCAACCAACTTGCCATCTGTCATCAATAAGATCTTTTGATTTTCCATTTTCTTTCATTGGAAATAAATTTTCAAATAATCATATCTCAGGACTTTAAAGTGCACAAAAACTTTTTTCCCAAACAGTGCCTTACTTTTGTACTGTTCTAAATGTTAACTCTGTCCCCAGGTCTCTCAACTTGTTTTTCATGCTGTACCATAATATTTAGAAGTTTGGAAAACTTCTAGTTCTTTTAAGAACCCATCTTGAATATTACATGTCATACTTATTTGAAAAAGTGATAAAATAATGGTACCTACATTATGCTTTCTATTCATTTTTATCCGTGACGTATAGGCATTTTCAATTTTTTTTTCAAGAATTGATTAATCAATCATAGGTAATTTTAAGAAACAGCCATTCAGTTAACTATTCAATCTACATTTAATGATAGATCAGTGAATTCAATATTTTGTCATTCAAATCAATCTCTTTCAAAGATTCCTTCAAGGCGTTAATCTTAACTAGTCCCTTGCGTTCCTAGCAATACTGGTATAGAATTAGATGTGCGGAGAGCCATAGTCTACCTAAATCAATAATTGTATACCTCTCAGGTGGGATAACAACCTTTATTGTTATATTGGCCAGTATTTGAGTTTTCAGAAGAGGAAATGTCACATTTACTGTCAGTCTACAGTGCGTAGAAATGAAAGAAAATAATGAAAAAACATTAATTTTATTTTTATGCAGTGTAAAATTGTCATTGAAAAAATTAAGTTGCTGTCAAAAAGTCAACATTCAATCTTTGTATTTAGGTGCCAAAGGGTTTTTAGTTTAAAGTTTGTTTTGGGCCAGATAGCTGGGATGACAATTTTTTTTCCTAGATACCTCACTGACAATTTTTTTTAGACTACAAGTATTAATATTAAGACTCTTTGTCAGCTGCTTGCAGCAAATTTTTAGTGTCATCATAAAAGACATCAGGCAACAACAGTATTTATATAATCTTTACTCTTATTTGTATGATGCACTGAGAAACAGACACATCTGTGTAAATTTGTGTGTTTTTTTATCCTTTTCTTATTTACATGTTTATTTTTTGGTAAAAACTTTTCTTTCTTTCGTTTTTTAAAGGATATTAAATGTCCTATGTTGTTCATGTCAAATTTTCTAGAAACTTTTAAATTTGGTTGACATTTCCTGTTGTTCGAAACAAATATAAAAATACAAAAAAAGTCCTCCGCGATTTGCATTTTATTTCTCTCCATGGAGAGAGTGGCTTTAATATGTTGTAAGAGAATTTCATCAATTGGTGTAGAATCCTGTTCTTCCGTTTAGCATATTTCAGTATTTTATCATAAAGCTGGACGTATATATTCTTAAAAGATGTGAAAATGATCTATAAAAAAGAATTATTTAGCATGTGCATAGGATTTTCTCACTTTAGTTCCTTCTTAGTCCATTCATTTTCTTTGAGTTTTTTTGCATAAATGCGTACAATTGAAGCTTTTTAGAAGGAACTATTTTCAAGTCTCATAGGGTAAATGATGTCCTTTCCAAACTTGGAAAAATATTAGTATTTTGAATTTCATTTTCTCTTGAATAGAAAATTATTTCACACTGCTGTATGAAGAGCTTCTGAAAAATTAGATGGATTTTTTTCGTTCCCTATCTTCATTGAGTGCTGGAAATTGCAAAACTCTTGCTGCAGGGAGTCACTGTGAATAATGCTCTAATGACTCTTATTTTCAGCAAGTGAATTTGGCATAGTCCAGAACTATATAATTAATAATAGTGAAGAGTATCTCAGGAAAACTCTTCAGTTTGTTACATACATTGCAAATTGCAAGCAACGTTGAAACTATATCACCCCAATTATTTAAAAAATAACGTTGTTTCTAGCTCAACTATGTGGCCGGCATTGGGTCTATTATTCAGTGTAGTTCAGCCACAGATGACTACTCGGAAAATATAGGTATCTAAGATTGATCTCCTGTGGATCAGTTAATACTTATTGTTCTTGGGGCAAAACGTCTGTTCAGATAGTCACTATCATTGAATAAAATCTCTTATCACTTTACTCACTAGTAGGTAATCTTCACCATAGAAGAATAGAGGTAGACAACCTGTATTTCACCCAGGTTACTTGGTCAGCCAACATGCTTTTGGTTTGCCTCTATTATTTTTGTGAGAAGGACTGAAATCAAGTAAAAAAAAAGTGTCTAATGAATAAACTGAAATCATCCCATCCAATTAGAAGCAGTGATAGTGGAATCGGATCATCTGTAAAAAAATTTAAACCAAAAACAAAGAAACCTTCAAACTAAAGTAGTTGATTGGGTTTCGATTGAGCACAGGGGAGAACTTCATGAGCGCACTATGGTCCAAAACTCAAGAATAGGAAGAGATAAGTCGGATAATGACTGAAAGATTACGAAAGTTTCGTAGTTGGTGTTTTTTTTTGAGCTGCTAATGAATTGGATGTCAAATTGCCAATATTTTAACACCCGTACTTATTAATTGTAGGCAAGTTTATGGCACGCTGCTGCTTACGCGGCGTGCTTGCCGCTGCGCTGCCATCTCGAAACGCGCACTGACGCCTACGAACCCAAAGGGATACTTCAAGCATTGCGCAATGCGTGAAGTAGCCCTTTAGGATTGTAGGCGTCAGTACGCGTTTCACACTGGCAGCACGCCGAGGTGCCCCCCGACGGGCGGGTGGTGAACGATTTCTTGCGGAGGAGCTCCCTGGCGAAGAAATTCGTTTATTTTTTTTTTTTTTTTTTTTTTTTTCCTATTTTTCTTTATAATTTTCGACTTTTAAAATTATACACTGGTCGTGTGAAGTAAAAAGTGAACTCTCAACGCTAGATGAAGTGTAATAATGATGAAAGGCTGGTCGTGCACCATGCGCGCTGCGGACGGCGTAAGGCGGCTCATGAAATTCTCCCCTGTGGTCTGTCGATTAGGTTTTCCTTCGAAATAATTTCATAACTCCCGGGTAAATGCGACTTTCTCTCATTTTGCTAACAACTGTAGTCATGAGCATATCTACAACGAAGCGAATTGAACCTCCGAATCGAGTTCATTCTCTTGTGTTTATCTAACATTTCAAACTCGTTGCACATATTGATTCGCGTCATTTAATTGATAATTGCAAGCAATTGGGAATATTTTCGTCGCGTCTGCAGTTTTTCCCTCTCTTGATTATCTCAGAACGCTTCTGAGAATCGTCAATCGCGAACAACGTAGTACACGAATCGAGCTGCCCTCTGATTGGCTCTAAGAAACGCATGTCAACAAAAAACAGATGTTTGTTTCGTCACTGCTCGCTTTGGTTCTGCTTATCGGCTGATTGTGCGGAAAGTGGTATATATTCTGCGTCCAAATTAACAAGTTGTGCGTTACCTAGAAAGTTTTTCCGAATATTCTACGTGGCATCTCAGTGTGCGTGTCTTATTTATTTCCAATTTGTCATTAATTCATCTTCACCATGTCCGAAAGTCATATGGACGAGTATGAGCATTACAACTACGACCAAGACAAAATAATCCACTCTGGTCACAGTGGAAAACAAAGGTCCAAGAAAGAAGCCAGTGAACACACCAACCACTTCGACCCTCAGGGGCACTCCAGGAAATTAACAGAGAAAATGCAAAACACTGAAAAGAATAAGAAGGTCGAAGCCACCAGACCGAAACCTGTGACCACGAAGGAATAAGCTGCCTCCTGAACCGGAATGAGGACACCGTTATCTATTGTAAAGATTTATTTTTTTAAATCTTTCTTTTTATTTTGTACCCATTACTACTTGATCTTTTGAAAAGACCTAGTTTGTAAGTATGTACTATTTTTCAATTCAAACCTATTGTGTAAATTTTGTTTTTAATTAACCATGGAAAGCATTTAATCTTGAAATCCGAATTTAAAGCAATAAAATAATCAAAACGAACAAAGCTTTTTCCTTTTCATTGATGCCTCGCCCCTCAAAATTAATATTATCTTCATCATGCGTCCAAACCAGTGGGACATGAAGGAAGGTTCTAGAAAAGCTAAGAAGCCCACCTGCATTTCTAGAAGGTTCTTTTTCAGTTTCATGAATTCCTAACCTAAATGTTCACAAGAATTTTTGAATTTTTATTTGTAAACAATAGAGTTTGTATGTTGTGAACGAATGACATTAGCCTTTGAAATTGCAATATGTGCCCAACGGAGCACAGCGCTGTAAAGTACCACATAAAATTAAACCCTATACTAGATGTCCACAGTCCTCTCAACTAACTTTCTGTGTATTTTGCCACCAGAAACATATGGTAGCAATGTGGATAGCTTGTTTTCATTTCATCGTTAAAATGTTTTCCTCGATGTCTCCTGGTGAGACTATTTCCTGTTATCAAATATTAATGTTAAATGATTTTGCCATCCACTTTTTGGATTTTTTTCTGAATCTTCCCTAAGGTGTACCTAGCCTTGTTCTCATATTTTAAGGAGCAGGAAGGTGATACATTTGTCTTTGGTTCCTGTAAGGATTAGATAGATGATGAACTTATCCCCCTGGGAAAAAACCTTGCCAGGTAGTTCTGTGAAGATTTAAGTCTAATCAGTGGATTTACTTTTTTCCTCCAAGCAATAATAATAGCAGCCTGATTGTTGAAATCTTCTGTCAACCGAACAAAGACGAAGGGAAGGTGGAATGAAGTTATGTGATTGAACTTCTTTGTTAGTCGTCCTGTTTGTCTTGCCTATGTTGGTAAAATTTATGATAAACCATCTGCAACTCAAGAGGTGCTCTGTCTTGTCATTGGTTAAACCCAAAACAAGCCCAAGAAGATGAATGACTGACAAACGTATGCATAGCTCCATTCCACTTTGGTTTTGTCTTGTCTTATCAATGAAAAAATGTCAACAATCAGGCTGCTATTCAGCCAAGAATATGGGAAGTTGAAACCTTTCCTGTAAGTTCTCTAAGTCCTGTAAGGACTTGTTTCCCATCTGAAGCAAGAAAAATGTACGCAATAAGAATGGAGGCGTCCTAGGAATTTCATGAATCATGTTATGATGCACAAGGGTTATCGGCCTTTTTATGGCTAAAAATTCAAAATCTGCCAAGATTTTTTACCTAATCATTGCGATTTATTGCATGCTAGTTCAACTATGTCAGAAAGCTTGACAAATCACCTCAAGTTCATCATTAGCTCGAAGCCATCAAATGGTTCCACCCAGAAATAAATGGACTGTTTTGGTATCAAACTCATTGTCGCACATTTTGAGAGCAGCAAAAACTAGTCATGTTTCATGCGACATAACCACAAAATCAGTCTACAGACATACCGAACATGGGGGAAACTAGGGAAATCGAGATCTGTGTTACTGATGAAAATAAAAAGGAAGAAAAAGAATCCAAATCAATTGGAAAAAAAAAATCAATTTATTCTGACTGGAAAAATAGGGCAACTGGACAGTATAACAAAATATGTACAAGTGAGTGATTCCTTAAAGTTTAAAAGTGTTAGTGTAGTTCAGTGGCTGATGTCTTGCATGATGTCAACGCTAATTGATCCAACACTAGAGTGAAAAGTCAAAATCAATATTGATGGAGAGAAAAGCATACATTTAAAATTATTTACACGATACAGTCAGATGCGCAAGTTGTGAAAGAATTTCCAGTGTTGAGGATTATTAAGCTACCTGTGCTCGAAGGGAAATTTCATGTAAATCTGAGAGCAAGGATACACAGTTTAGAACTCCGAAGTTGTTTATACAAGATAGATACAAATTACAATCAGTATAGGGGTTCATGTGCTTGATGGGACGGTGATTTTCCATCAAGTGGGCATAAAGGATCAGAAAATTGCTCCAGATACAATTTTGTTGATCATTATAGCAACAACATATTGTCTACTATTATTAAAATTCTCCTAGAACTTTACGATTGATCAGGTGAGAGAATGAGTCTCCTTTCGGGAACACTTAGTTTTTAAAACGTGTACTATTCTTAAAACTGATATTTACAAAGTATTATTTTAAAATAAGTACAAAAACAGCTTTGTCACTCGACTGATAAAGCAGCCAAATGTAAGACAGTAAATGCTACTTCCGCAAGTTGAATTCGCTGATTCATTGCTACAGATAATATTTACACATGAGCGAGTTGAAGAAAATACCTTGAAGTGCTGAAGCTTGAAGCCTGACCAATACATTATTTAGGCAAACATGTCTTCGCGGTCAGCTCCAACCCCATCACCATCCTCTAATGATGAGAAGTTGAGGAAATGCGCCGGGCGGTGAACTTCATGGTAAAATTCTTTGGGATTGGCTAACTGCAATTCGTACTTCATTCCAGGTTCATGTCTCACTCCCATGAAATTATAGTTCCACGATCCTTGAGCTGGTACCATGAAAAATCCAAGGAATCGATCAGACAACAACATCTGGACTTTCTCATAATGACTCGGAAGGTACCCTTTAGGATTGTTGCCTTTGTCTGTGTTTTGTCGACCCCATTCAAAACCACTGCAAACAGAAGAAAAATCAGAAATCAATAAAGTCACCGTCATACGATGATGCCGTTAAGAGCCTTGTACTTTCATTTCAGTAATATTTTCCATACTTGCTCTTCAACTAAAATCTTAAGATTAGTAGCATCATTTAAAGTACAAAGAGTAGTTTTGAAAGAACTTGAGATACTTTTATGTTCAGTAGTAAGTTGAGATGAAGCACTGCTACTTTAATAGTAATAGTGACCAAGGATTGACAGCCGGTGATTCTTCTGCCATGCGCAAATCTGCCTACTATGTGTGACAAGAAAAAGTATACAACTGCTAAAACAAGTTCTGCTACAGTTCAAGTTCACTCCTAGCTGATAGGATTTAACTAGCGCAGCTGGCTCTTTTCTAACCAATCTATGACAAGAAATAAACAAAGCTGTAGAAGAACACAAGATGACAAAATTACCTTGGCGTCAATTTATAAGCCGTTAACGAGCAAGACCCGGGTGTGAAACTGCACGTCATGACGACGGTTTTCTCTCCATCCCAAGATGCATTGTCAGCCATTACTTTAGCGTGGGTTGTGATGTCCTGAAAACAAAAATAAATTTTATCAAAATATTTTCATAACGTTGAACAGACCGCCGATCACTACTGGCAATAGTCTTGGAATTGCACTCTGAAACTGTCTTGCCGAAGTGTAGACTAACTTCTTGTTAGAATAACAGAGCCTTATGTTATAATTTACTTTCCTTTACCACAACTCAATAGCATCAATGTATCAACAATTAGACTCTGAAACGACGTACCTCTGTTTGCGTCATTGTGCTCTTCCGTTAATTGTCTTCAGTTTGACATTTAAAGTGAATACAAGATCCAAGATAGGGGATCTTTGGTCTCACTCCAAAAGTGCCAAAATCTTATTGGCAAGGACATTTGAATGTTTTGTGATTGGGGAGCCTGTCACTGTAATTTCTTAAAAATTTGCTCTCGGTACGAAAATTGAAAACTTCAAGCGACTAAGTTGTCTTCTTTTCTTTCTCGAATAAGTAAAGAGTGGAAATTTTGAAACACTGGAACCAAAATGGATAGATCTGAACTTTTTCAGCGATATTCTGTTGATTTGGAATTGAGAATTCACAGAACAGAAAAGACACAGCATAGCCAGAGATCTTTGAAGGGACAAAAGAAATACAAAAGCTGTGAAACAAACCTGCGGTGAAAGTTGAGGCAACTCGTTGGGCTGAGTGTGAATCCATCCAAGTGGCTCCATTTCTTTCAGATACTGATGCGATGGTAGTTGATTTGGAAGATGCACAGTTTGATGTGTTCCCCACTGAGGAGGCATGACGATACATCGGATCTCTTTGACCTGTGGGTTGTCAGGAGGACTCACACCATACAAATAACCAGCAATCTGAAATAAAACATCAAAGGGGGTCAACCTTATAAAAAATGGAAAAGTGATAGTTCGTTTAGCTACTAAATCACAGAAATATGAGTCTGCATTATCAACCCAGAGAGATTTTTCTGCGATGAATTGATTTGGGCGATTATTTATTACACTGAAATTTCAGAAAGCGGAATTACAGTCCATTTTTTTCCCTTTTCTTCAACCCAAGGGTGCGGAAAATTCCTAATCATGATAGCGTGGCCGCTGATGTGAAAAAATGGGTTGGCTGTGAATATTGAGAAGGCCAGCTCACAGGAACTTCAGAAACGCTTAATTTTTCGTATATCACAATAAAATTTGCATGTGTGTTGAAAAATTGCGAAGAAATTCGCGTTTTTATCGCCTAATCGAGGCAATTTATGAATAAAGAACAAAAAAAAAGGTAATGGCACGGATAATTCTGAGAAAAAAAGACTGTTTTTAAAATTGAGAAGGCTAGTTTGAAAAATGGCAAGGCTAAGAACTTCCTGCACCTCTGATTTAACCTTTGTCCAGTTTGTGACTAGAAAATCAACTTAATTGACTTGCTCCACACCAGATCCAATAAAAAGTTGAGTCCCCCCTCACTAAATTCTAAGTTAAAAAAAATCGTGGAAAAAAAACACATGAGCCAATTTTGCTGAAATTCGATAAGAAACCTGTCTTTTTGGATTTTTAACCATACAGAAATCATCAATGAAAAATACTTTGTCTGGATGGGAAAAAGGATGAAAAAAAAAAAAAAAAATCATGCCTGTTACCTTGCTCTCTAAATGGCAGTGAGAGAAAGGCAAAAAATCCTCGCAGCAACCATTCAATTAGACTAAAGTTGCGAGCAAAGAAAATTTTGGCATGTAACTGCACCGGTACCCACTTGAATTCTTCCGACATGGAATTACAATTTTTAAACAAACCTGTGCTCGAAGATCCGATATTGTGACGAACTTCTTCAAAATATTCTTGGGGAGAATGTACGTGTAGCCAGTTTCCTTGATGTCATCTGAGGACACGTAGATGTGGTTCGTACGCAGATGCAAATTCGTAGCTGATATGGCTCTGACTCTCCATTCAGTTTTGGAACTGAATGTCTGTGTCTCGTAGTTCGATGTTGTTGACGTGATGATCTCATCTCCATGTTTGTTGACAGTCCTAGTCGTTGTAGCTGTGAGCTGAGACTGTTCTTTGGTCTGCTTTTCAATTTCGGCAATCTGCTGTCGTTGAGCAGATGGTGCTGAGATTTCCATACCCAAAATGATGTCACGAATCTCAGACTGCGTCAAAGAGGCAACATTTACGTTGTTTTTCTTACCGTAGTCGGCCAGAATTAGGTCTTTCAATTGGACTTCCACCTGAAAAGGGAAAGAAGAATTATGAAAGATTTCAAAAGATATTTTTTGAGATGAAGAATTGATAATTTGTCTCTTACCTTAAAATAATAGAAGTTTTTTTGACTAATCTGAATAAGTAGACTATAGTTCTATGAGGGCTAAAAACATACATTGAGATAACTCATCAATTGAATCATTTTTCAGATTAGAAGGTTTAATATACTAATAAAATTGGACTCAAAGTATACTTTGAGAAGAAATTCAACTCTAAGGCTCTTTTTTTCACCTCAGTACTAGAGTGCAGAATTCTTTCAAGCATCCTCAAATTTTTCACAAAATCCATGAGAGTGCCCCTAACTTCCTGATCTGAAACACTCGCTTGTTAAGACTTTATTGGGTACAACGAGATACACGACTTCACAATGAAACATTCATATGCAGTTAGAAATTAGTATTTCCAGGCTTAATTTGTTTATTTTATTATGAAAAAATACTTAGATTTTAGGTGGCTAATAGAGCAAAGAAAATAAAGAAAAATTTTGTCCTTCCTCAACTCTTTGTACTGTAGTTTTCAAGACTGCAACAGCATGGACATAAAACTCAGTCTGAAATTATAACGCAACAATTACATAGATCATCTTTTCCTACCCAATATGATAATGAAAAAAGAACCTTTAAAACGTCAAAACGTACCTTGATCCATTCATCGTCGTTCAACGTTGGCCAGATATGATGCGGCTCGGTGATCGTAGTTTTGTCCGGTTTCAAGATAACCTTAGTTCGCTCTGTGTTGACATGCAGTGCTCTCAGAATTAAGATCAGCCTTGAGAATGCAGTGTACGACGAGATTGTCTTGAGCCAATCGTCATACAAATTAAACAGCACCATTTGCGGCTCGGTGGCCTTTAGAATGAGGTCACCAAACTTCTCAACCTTAAGGCAAGCCTGGAACGGCAACTGTAGTTCCGATCCTTTGATTACGATGTTAGGGAAATCAAGCAAGTGCACTTCCAATGGATCCAACATTCCTTTACGGGTTACGATGATCTGCTTGGGTTGCTCTTCAACAGGTAGAGAACGAATTAAGGCAGCCACTTCTTCTGCTGTTTTCCATTTTGCCAATTGTCCCAAACGTTTCTGGCCAGCCCAGACAGATGTGTGAATGATCTTCAAAAACAACTGACCTGAAAAATTTAATTTTAGGCTAGGTATTAGATGGAATCAATAGAAATTATGTCAAAGCTTTAAATCTCTAACAAAAATGTTGTACTTCTCTACAAGCTCCTGCGATAGGCTGAGGGAAAAATCATGTTGAAAGGCATTAGAAGAGTCAATGATCTTTTAAAAGAGAAGAAACATGGAGTTTAACCTAATTCAAGAACATACACAACACAAAAGAAAATCATAGCATAATTCACCCTAAAAAATGTCACAGACAACTTTCCATTTTGTACTAGATGTACTGGCAACCTCTGCAATCAAGAATATCCAGAGAATCCTCTGTCATTAACAGTAAAATGCCCAGTCGGGCTACATTCATTGGGTTACCAACATGGACAGTGCAATTTTATTCCGCTGCAGTACAGTAATGCATTATCATTGGAACGATAGAATATGAATAAAAACAGGGGCAGCAACAATTTCTTTTACAATTTGATTGCAAATATGATGAAAAATTAATTGCAATGACCATTAAAATTTCATTGATAGCAAATTCAGCTTAATTAGAGTTGATATGCAAGAAATATGAAAGTTGAAGAGAAATTTATAGAGAAAAATTACCAGTTATGCTTTTTTGAGAGGTTAGTAAATTACTGTGTCTTAATTCAGAATAATTTATAACTAAGTAAAGTCATCATGATTTCTGTAGTTTTAAGAAACCTTTTGTCCTTGATTTTTACCTGTGCGAGGGTTGAAAATGAAGATAGCTCCATTAATCGGTTTTGTCGTTAAATTTCCTTCAAACGTTTTGTGAATAGTGACTCGATACACATTTGTGTCATCTACAAACCAGATGATCTGATTTGAGAAGAGTTCTCCATAGTTTTGTGAGGATAAATAAGGCTCTGTTGGCTCTGAGGAATAAAGCTGGAGTGCTTTGCGGATACGTTCACGTAACACATACAATGCAGGGTTTGCTTTCATTATTTTAGCCATGGCTTGCTGAATCAGGGGCTTGCATCCAGGGTACCAGTTACCATAGGCACTGAAAAAAGAAGAGAAATGTTTCATTGACTATATTGTGTGTTTAAAAAAAAATCCATTCTCACAAAATTTTTTAAAAAAAAAAACTTGATACAGTAACTAGGATTGTGATGTTTTTAAGGCAAAATAATCACATGACTTTAATCTCTCTTTGAACCAAAGGGAAGATGGAAAGAAAGCTCACAAATTACCTTCTTGACTGAAAAAAGAGCTATCGAAACCAGGGAACTAAAAGTGCAAAAATCAGTACCAGAACGAGATTTTAGACTTATCCATCCTTCACAAGTATGACCATTCAGGACCTGACAGCCACTAATTAATACTTTGCTAACAATTGGAGTTTAGAGACCAAGTAATTAGAATGCTAGAAAATCTAGCCGAAAGAATTGTACTTCCAACCCTGTTGAGACTTAAGAATTGAAAGCAAATGCAAAATGATTTAGGCTGTTGACTGATGAATAACAAAAACACACTTAGTAATAAATGTAATTACCTGTGCAAATTATATGCTAGGTCGATCGCAATGAGAACTCCAGTTGGTGATGGATAGATAGACATGTTATCAGTTGTGTAATCCAAAAACTTGGCGCGGGCATAACGCTCAATATCGTGAGAATCGTAGTCTCCCCATCGTAACTGAACATCGATCCAATATTTCTGTGTGGTTGTGTTATCCATAACATCCTTTGAGTCGGCAAGTAATGACGGTCGAGAGACGTTCCACTTGTATGCAGCAAACAACAAAATATCCGCACACGATGAATTCATTTTGTATGATTTACGGGGATGAATTGTCTCTTTTTGGACTGTTTCAATCTCTAGAGCATCTAGCTCTTGATCGAACACTTGACACAAATCCATTACGATTGACTCGTGGACCTTCTGCCACAAATGGGCTCGGAAAATCTGGATCAGGGAAATCTTGAGCGTTGGAATCTTGCCGTGCATGAAAATACCAGTCAAATCAAGCTGGACTTGGAAACCAACGTAGACATTAGCACGGTTGATGGTTGGTGACCACCAAAGTGTGAATCGACGGTTCGGGATTTGATTCAAACCAGATCGCTGGGCGTTGGTCAGCTTTTTGTACTTCATGGATTCCTCGAAACCTGAGGCTTTCTCCCAGAACAGACCTTCCCAGGTTGGGAAATAGGTTCCTTTGAAGAGTGTGTGCTCCAGAATACCTTCAACACCTCCCAAGGCCTGGATCATGTCTGTCCGATAGTTGTTCAAGTTCCATAATTTGCCGTCATGCCGCTGATGGGTCCACCAGAATGGATTTTGTTTCAGAACCTGTAGATGAAACAAAACAAATGGTAAACTAAAGAAATTTAAATTACTAAATACAGAATATTTAAATTATACTTGTAACAATGATTTCTTACTTTGCTCTTGTTGCCACATTCACAATTTAATGCCTATTATTTCAAACTGGCAGTTGTTGAGAAACAGAATTTGAGTGTTAGGAATTCTTCAACCCATAGCCACACCTTAACCCGTCACCACATCCTAGAATATTTGTGCTGTAAGAGGCAAGAGCAGTGAACAACTCCTGATAATTCTGGTTTGGCACAACACCTTTACATTTCCTGCTAAAATGGCTGAGGTCGAAAAATACGTACCAGCACTGTAGTGTTACCAACTCTCTATGTTTTGCATCGGGGATAAGTAATTCTTGACTTAAGTCATCGATTTGTAGATGCTGTGATTTTATCATGATTCATTATTTAGTTGGTACAGAGAGCCTGATTGCTTTGTGCTGCTTTCTTTTTTATCTTCTGGCTGATTCTTTGGTGCAAATTGATAAGGATCGCCAAGTTCAGAAAATGAAAGGCTTTGATGGAGGAAAAGAAGAAAATTTAAATTCCTGTTTTTTTTTTAAGAATTTCATTATTTTCTGTGAGATTTTTTATTCCCTTATTAATCTTATAATTCTTCAGGATTTTCATGCCCTAAACGCCAAGAAATTAAAACGTCAAAGCCTGAATAACATTAGGCAGCACCGACGGTTATCTTTAAAGGTGTAGAGATAAGTGAGTGAGATTGAAAAAATATAGATCTATCCGGTACCTGGTACTGTTTGAATTCAGTCCTAATTCTCCATCCCTTATCGTAGGCCAAGGTGTGTCGGTCCTTCTGGAAAAGAGTGTTGATTCTTGGGATACCACGGTCCCAACTGTCTTCGAGATCTTCCAGTGTCAAACGTCTGTTCTGGGCATTTGCTTCTTGTCTTTTCAGGGCATATTCAGCCCAGACGCGCTGAGAATCAATAAATTCCGACTCCCAGGGTTGAATGTATCTGTACAAATTGGGGATGAGCTGATCTTCGTCGTGGCTCATACCTGATCGGAAATGGGTGATGCCAACATCAGTTTGTTTTGACCAACGCAAGTCTGACTGGGGAATCAAGACGTGACCCATTGATAACATACCTGCAATTAATAAAAACTTTGGAGTGAGGGAGATGAAGATTAAGCAGAAACTGTGAGCACCTTTCTTCCTGTAGAAAACAAGGTGGAAGGACTTCTTAGAATGGACTCCTTAAAAATCATTAATGGAATTTTTTGTAAAAATATCTCACAAACAAAGATTTTTGAGACACTAAGTCAGAATTTCAGTTGTTCTGCACTCAGTTCACAGCATCATCCAACTCTTCTTACAACATGAATTCCGACATTTTTCGTATGGTTTCAATTATACAGCCTTTCCAATGTCTGGCACGAGTCTCCAACAAATTGCAGAATAACTGTGGTCTATTGGACAATACTAGACATTGACTATAGTTTATGGGACTATCATCTTTCAAATCAAAAATAACCAATGAGCTTACTTGTAAACTGACATTTTACATTCAGTCAGGAATAATGAAAAATGTTAATTTACAATTGATTCATAGATTTTCTGCTAAATGAATACTTTTTTCTGTGAAAAACCTGCAATATTTTTGGTATTACTAGAGCTTTAGCTTTCAGTGTTTTTGGGAGTACTAATTGACTTGTACACCGTGTCACAACCTAACTAATTATATTTTAAAAATGATTCCTTTCCTGTTTATGATGGTGAATGTAAAATATTCACAAACAATAGCAAGACAACAAGACTGGAAAACCGACCAACTGAAAAAACAAGTCTTCGGAGATCAATTAAAATTGAAGTCAATATTGATACAAGGATTAAAAGCATACCTAAACCACCAAGTTCTTTAGGGGTGTAGAAAACAACTGGCGGGAATCTTGAGGGCATTTTGGAGTTGAGACCAATTTTGATACGTGTCTGAATCTTGTTTTCACATTTGACAAGCAAGTCGAGGAGCTCTTGGGTATTGACCACAGCTTCACGGAAATAGGTCATGAGCCCAATTAGTGCTGTATTCCACTTGTTCACAATCTTCGTGAATGTTGTTGAACCAGAAGCCATGAGAATTTGACGCACTCGATTATGGAAGCGCTGTAGGGATTCATCGTCTACACGCAAGAAACATTGGGCAGTACGCTCTTTTGTAATTTCATTCTGCAGATTCCAGACGCCATCACGGTGAGTAAATTCATCATGCGTTGTACGACACTGAGGGAATGCAAGAAAAAAGATCACATTATTGACCAAATTAATCAAATCCAAACTGTGCTTCAGCCACAGAATACAAAAACGCATGTGCGGAGAAGATCACATTGAACTTTCTGGTTCATACAGATTGTGAGTATCCGGCCAATCTCTGTAGTAACATGTCTGTTTTCTTTATGAACATTTAAATTAGGTTATTTCTCAACCTCTCTTTTTTAATTTTGGATCTTCGTTTAATTTCTTTGTCATAAAAAGGTACACACGTTTGAAAAATATTCATCATTTTGGATTTTCTCCCTCTCTTCCCATCCCTCAATGGCATACCTGCTAAGCAAGCTCAGACCCCTCCCCTACCAAGAGGCTAGAGTTAATTTAAGGACGGTCTTTAGAATATTACCTTTGGCAGAATCCTGCATTCAAAACCACTCATGTTGAAGAGGAGATTGGGATTATCTTTCGAGTAGACGCTGACAAAACTGTTTTCCCATTGAATAGTGGTGGTAGAGCGAGGCAGACGGTTCTTGATGTCCCAGAACACGGCTCGACCCAAATTAACATCATGCTTCATCAGACGCATGCGAGCGTCACGAGGCCAGCATTTCTTGTTGTTATAGCCAACGATGTTCTCATTGTTTGGATCCGGATGCTCTGTCAGATAGCGTTGAATTAGGTCTCGTGCTTCTTCTGCTGTGAATCTAAAAAAGGGGCAGAATGATTCTGTGAATGCAAATTTTCGATCGAAGATCAAATTTAAAACTAGCTATTTGACTCAGTTACCCTATTTTCTTCACAGGAACTTTTAAGATGTTACACACCAATGCCAAGCATTCTGTTTCTATTTGAAAGTTACTGAGAGTTAGTAAGCAGAGCTTCATTTATCAAGGAAAAAATAAAAAAACCCACTTGAGTAAACTGATCATAATTTTTTAGGGAACTGATTTTCGCATTCAACAAATGCACAAATCTCATGACGCTACTATAGTAAGATTAGTATTTATCGGATTGATATCGATTTGATGGATCAATCTTTCATTCCCTTCAAGGGCTTCAATCTAATTTGAATTATCGGATTCTGCTAATTAACAGAACAATACATCAGTCCTGTAAAGTCTGATAACTTGAGGTCTTACTGTAATACTAGTTTTATTGAAATTTTAAAACTGAATCTCATTTTTACAGCAAGAGATGTGATCTTCACAAAAAGGGCTTGTATGTTAATAAAGAAAAAATTTTAATTTTACACAAAAGCATTTGATCAGAGAAGAATCATAAAACTTTTTGGGCTCACCTTAAGAATATGTGGACTTTTTCAACATAGCGACAATACAGCCTTATAGGATGGGCCGCTTCCGTTTGGACATCCTGGAACGTGAGGAAATCGTTGGGCATTTGTGGCGGGCCAGCCATCTCAGAGGCTCGCTGCAGACCCAAAACCAGGAGATCAAGGACAAGCCCATAGTACTGGACGATAAATGATGCAAACTGAAGCCCACGTATGATACCATAGGAGTTAGTGTGGTTCATGTCTTTGTAGTTGATGACGACGTTGTTCTTGGCTGTCATGTAATCAGCAATGTTGTGGTCGACAATCAGACGCAAAAGTCGATTCAACACGGTCAAATCAATTTTCTCGTAGATCTTCTCGAACTTTGATTCCAGCAGGACGTTACATTCACCCTCACTAACATCCCAGACATCGTGTAGGTTGTTGATGCCTGAAAAATAAATAAAACAATATTATCTTACTTCTGACTTTAATCAAAATAATCTTACAATAAAAGTAGCAAGTATTGAGAGCCTCAAAATTTTCAGTTTACAATATTTAATCTGATGCAAAGGCACTATAACAACAAACATGATGGCAGGAATATGTAAAACAAGGTGTATAATCAGGTTCAGAACGAACATTTTTTACCCTTCTAATTCTAGGGGACTTCAATGTTCTTAAAATAAAAAAAAATTGAGACTTACAATGGAGGAGTTCCTTGGAACAAGGGCGCATAAGACTTGCAATGATGCTAAGATTGTGTAACTTTGTATACTATTTGCAGCGAAACAAGTAGCACATAAATGTAATTCTTTTCACAGAAAAATAAATCGGAATAATAAGATTTTTTTCAGAAAAAAATCCTAGCAGGGCTTTCATACTGTTCAACTGGAAACGATGCAAATATACAAACCTTGACACCATTTGTAGACTAGAAGTGGAGGGGGTTCTGTATCTCCAGGCTTGACCCATGGTGGGAACAGTCGCCGCTTGTCCGCTTCATACCACAGGTATTGGTCAAGATATGCATCCGTGATTTTTTCCAATGGCTCCACATCGTATACTGGTACAAGATGGCTGTACAGATCCATGAACTCAATCCCGACCTCTTTGAAGGCTCTCTGCGTCAGCAAATGACGCTTGATACGAGACAGTGCTTCGTGAGGATTGTCGTATGCTTGCTCGATCAAACCTGCAAAAAACAATGAATATTAATTATTAAAAGTTCAGACGCACTAAAAAGAGAAAATATACGCTGATTGTGGTAGAATTTTATCGCCAGGAAGAGAAAATTATTCAGGCATGTAACCAAGGAGCCTTAGTGCACAAGGGCAAATTTTCCAGGAAAAGCATTTTTGTTCACAAGAAAACAGATACTTATAATAATTTGCTATCTTACCTAATTCTTCTCGTTGGCTTTGGTTCAAGCGTGATTTGACACTGTATGCTTCTTTGAGCCTCTCGAGAGCTAAAATTAGAAGTTTCGTGTCATGCTTGTATGAGAGAGGCGGGAACGGGATTGGAGCGAAGCGCCGTGATTCTAACCAGTGCACAGTTGTTGTGTAGATTGCAACAGCTTCTTCTGGTGAAATGTAGGGTCCATCCTAAATTTTTGGAGAACAAAACATGGCATTAGAATACGAGAATCCAAAATGAAGATACTTGATTTGGGCGTTAGATTTCAAAGGTAAATATTCTTATCTTATAATCATTCTGTCATTTCTGCCTTATATTTGTGTCTTTGAGGTCACTGTCGCAAAGATGCCCCTTAGTAACAGATAATGTTCACCAGCTCTAAAAATCCGGCAGCTATTAGTAAGAGTCTTATTGTCATTTAAACAGAGCCTTTCCAACAGAGCACTGATAGTTGGGAGGAAACTCATGCTTTCACTATGAATTGTTACAAGGACTGTCCCAAAACAACTGACAATGAGACCAAGTCTGTAATTCTTGTAAAACATGAAGTAGATCAGAATTCAGAAAAGCAAAGGAAGACGTACCTTCAGGTAGTTATGCTGTCTCTCTTGTTCAGCTTTCAAGTACAATCGAGTAAGACGCCCCAAATTCTTCTTGCAGACCGTTTTGTCCACAGTTGCACCACGTCGAATACGTTCTCGGTTGTAGTGAGCTGTGTTTGTCCACCAATCAGCCTTCATTTTCACGTAACGCAGGATCATATTTTCGATGGGGGTCGGCAGTCCTGGAACTTTCCACGGTATATTAGCTTTCCAACACCGCCACGCTTCAGACAAATGCTGGAGGATGGTTCGTGCTTTGTTCTGTTTTATTCCTTCAGGCATCATGTCGACAATGTCATGCATCACAGAGGCTCGCAGTTCAAGATCAAAATGACTCTCAACTCGCTGCTTCGTCACTGTCTTAGCGACTCCTTTTGAGTGACGTCCTTCGAATTGCCTTGACAGAAGGTTTCCAAGCCATCGTTCTAGTAGTGGTGTGATTCCTCGCATGAAGAATAGCCAGACACGCCAACCAGGAGCCCAAATACCGCAACCTGGTCCCTTGCCAACTGGACCCTGTGAAAATTACAAAGACAGGTCTTTTAAACTCAAATTGTGTTCTTAAGCACCTTCAAAAAAATCAAGCTCCTTCAAGGCCTTTGGAATTTTTTATAAAATCAAGCAATACTCAATGCTGCTTGAACCATGTGACTGAACTGATTGCGAGACATGCAAAAAGGGTACAAGTCCAGTTTTTTTTTAAAAAAAAAAAAATATGAGTATTCATGGCATCTTTAGACTCTCACTGAGGAATACATCTTCTCTGAAAAAACCAGCAGAAGTCCATCGTTTTAACATTGAGGAATAAAAAACGGGAAAATGGATCTCTAACAGAGCGGGTAACTTTTCCATTTTTCTGCTAAGAAATTTGAACCTTCTTCAAAAACTTTGATTTATCAGACTGCCACGCAAGCGTTTTGATTATTTCTTACTTCAAGCAATGTTAAAAAAATTAGGTTCATATACAAACATAGAAGAAGATAGACATGGAAAATTACCGTGTTGAATCTGTAGTAGATTAAGTGTTTCAAGTCCTTGCACATCCGAATCTGCCTCATTAGTTTGTACTTGTACCTGTACATACCCGTTAGCTGACCCACATGGGCAAAGACATACTGCAAACCATCAGCCAACTGGAATGCATCAACGTTATTCAGCCGGTACTGGACATGCGAGTCAATTATCAACTTGGTCAGACGCAAGATTTCTCGACACAGATGGAAAGCTGAAAGAGCAAACAGAGCCTTCTGTGAGCGCTGGATGAAAGTGATTTAGCTGAGCCATGTTACGACTGCAGGATTAGAGAGAAAATCAGGATTTCTGACAGCACTTGCATTCAAATTAGTTTCAACTCGTCATTGGAACGAAGGAAAATTGGAACAAATTAAGTTTCAAAACCCTTTGTGAAAAAGGCAATCCATAGATACCTTTGTGCAGACATCAACAAGATGGGTAGTCACTTTTTTTGAATTTTACTTGAACTTTTTATGTATTTTTCATGTGATTTCAGATTTGAAAAAAAATTTTGCTAGGATATAAGAAGTTCCAACATGACCTCTAACTCTTGCAATCTGGCGTAATTCATGCCATTTGATAATGTTCAATTTCCTGAGAGGATGAGCGAAAAAGCAGGAGGGGGAAGAAGTGCTTTTGAAAATTTCCTCACAACCCAAGATTGGGATCGCTTGATAGAGCAATTTTTGTACCTTCTCCATGGTAAGTTTTTAAGAAAAAACCTGTTTTTAAATTATTTGAGTCAAAACATAAGCTTTCATCCAATTTTTTATAAATTTTGATGACACTTTAGGAACAGGATCTAAGCCTGTCATTCAGCACAGAAAGGAACTTGAATCCTAATACACTTGGAAAATATTGTATTGAGCAGTATCTATGTTTAGAGAACTACATCTACTCCTCATAAAAGGTTTTTAATGAGGGGTTAATTTGGGGTTCTGACTCAGAGACCATTCTTTGGCATTTTATTTTTAAACTAAATTGTAACTCACCATTTCCGAAACGGGACTTTTTACGCTCTTTGGTAGTAAGCGTTTTGACAGGTTTCAAATTGAAGTTGTAATCCAGATGCAAGTAATTTAGATTCTTCCGGTGAATCAACAAATTCAGCATATTGTATCCTTGCCGGCAAACCTGGAGCCCTGCTTCAACCCAGTCCAACGATGTTGTTTGGAAGAACTTTGTGGCTTTAAAGGATCGGAAAAGATACCTTTTCTTCTGAGGTTTAGGGGGACGGTGTTTCAAAGCGTTAAGGACAAAGTATTTCAACAGCTTCTGATAGCTGACACGAACTTTCACCGGCTGGCCAGGAGGACAGTGCTCTCTGTACCAACTTTTCACCAAAGGAACATCGATGGCTCTCCTGCAACGTCCTATGCAGAAGAAAAAATTACCACTGTCTTAGAAAAACATACAGTATAAAATCACATCTAAATAAATGCAAAAGAGATATCAAAATGGCAAGTTAAAGCAAGTTCAGGGTCAAATGGGGAACAATTTTCGGCAGAAACTGTAGGATAATCAAAGAAAATGTTTCAAGATTTCAGCCAGTGTGTGCAGAACAAGTGGTGAAGAGCTTGTTGATGCAAGCCCTTTCCATAATGCTCATCTAGTACAGGGTATTTAGCAAAAATTACTTTCTCTTCTCTTTAACTTTCCAAATTTTCTGTTTCCTTAGCTTTCCTGACTTTTTTACCAAACGCAGAGTACAGTAAGAACTCGATTTATCGCATTTCATAGGACTGACGAATTGATCCGATAGATCACGGAATCTGCTGATTCAAATTACCTTGAAGTCCTTGAACGGACTACAAAATTGATCCGTTAAATTGCGAAATCCATTAAATTGCGATCCGATAAATTGTGGTCTTACTGTGACACAAAAATAAACATGGCTCAACGTAAAGTACCTGTACAGATTGGTAGAGGCTCCAATCTCTGAGGGGAAGAGTTCACTATAGATCAGGAGAGAACTCGGTCTGGTTTAGCATCAAAGCACCACAGAGTCATGCAAAATATCACCATCTTGCACTGGAGTTCATGAATCTTTCAACTCCCCGTTTTTTCTCCCTGACTGATTTTGTCTCTATCACTTTACCTAACCTCTCCTGCTGTTAGACACCTGGCTTTACTAACTGGTGAAATGACAATGAAAGTTACATTATGCGATTTGAAGGTCTAATAAAATAAGTTGATCAGGCTCATCCATAGATTAGTACCTATGGATGGAATGTGCCAAATTAATGATGCTAATATTTTAAAAAGATGTCTGGAACTCACCAGAACGAGTGTTGAAAGGCCTTGGAGCCCATAACAAAGCGATTCCATTGGCTGTGTTATCTGTGTACAACGGAGTCTCTTGCAAAAAGGGTTGGAATTCTTCAGGGAGCTCAAATTCTTCCTCATCATCTGGCAGAGGTTCTACCACCTAATTAGACAAAAAATTTACGCTTTAATAACAAAGACAGCTTTAAAATTAATTGGAGAAGTTATATGGAAAATCAGAGGAAAAAATCCTTCCACTAAAAGTGAAAACTCACAACTTCTTTCGAAGAATTAACAAAATTCTGTTGTTTTCCGGCGATTTTGATGTTATATAAAAGTATAATATATGAAGGTAAGTTAATTGTATGAGAGAAATTTTTGACGAATTATGAATGTTAAAAGGAGAAAAAGTACCTTGACAGAATGCCTGTGAGCAATTGGATTGATCAAGGGGTCAAAGTAAAAAGCTGGTAAATCAGGGTCCTCAGTTTTGATGTAGACTACATTTGGAGCATGATACCTAAAAAGATAAAAAAAAAATTATTATTCATCACCCAATGGTGCGGGACTAACATAGTACAATACCAACAGTGAAACTCCAAAATGATGTACTTGGTTTGGAACGTTACAGACTTCCTGACATACTTTCTTTTTTAATTGGAGAACTACTTAGCATTAATTCTTTAAAGATTCCGTGATTTTTTTCTTCTCTGTGTTAAGCAAATTCAGGAAAAGCCATGATGTTGATTGATGGAAAAGGAATAATGATGATTAGATCTCCTTTAAAAAATAAAATAGGAGTGGAGATTTTTAAACATTGCTAACGAGATGCATGGTTTGGGAATTCTACTGCCAATATGCTCCAGTTCTAAGCACATTGATGAAAATAAAAAGAATACAAAAGCAGCGAACAGGCTGCGACAAATTTACTCGACCCTTGGATGATTTTTGAGCCAATTTGGCTCATCAAGAAAATACAGTAGATGGTGGCACGGGAGCCACCATTGGATTTAATAGTGACAAAGAGATATACATCCACCTATCAGCCAAAAAGAGTCTACGGGAGGGTTTAGATACTGCTTTATGCCATACATGACCCAACTCGGCAACAGTCTTCACGAGATACAATGCACAGTGGCATAGATATATGCATTTCTCCGATTGTGCTATCCACTGCATTTTTTCTATGATTTTGTCCAAAGCAAAGGCTTACTGAGTTCACTTTAAAAACTGTAATTGATTGGTAGCGTTTAACTTTGAGAGTTTTCAAAAGTCAACCAATATCAAATCAATAGATTCTTGTACCACTTGTGCCCCTGAAAAGTTTTTAACTTCAAAACATTTCATGTAATACACACACAAGTGACATAAATGAAAAAAAAATTCCCGGACTTTTCAAGGTTATCCTCAGAAAAATGTTAAAAATTCACTGAATTTTCACATCAACAATTAGCATGCATGGAACTGAGAATAAGTAAACAATGTTTGCCTTTGATTTCACTGCAAATGACAGAGACATGTAAACCTTCAACTTTCTTAACCTTATTTTGAACCCAGAATGAGACTGAGAATCAATTTGATTAAATAGATAGCACTGATGCTTTTCAGATTAAAAGTTTCAAAATGTTTCAAATTCCTAATCTTTTTCATAAAATTTCCTGAGTTCCCTGACCAGATAAAATTCTCCGTTTTCTAGACACCCTGGGACTAATTTAGGTTATACACTAATTTTCGGTCAATTGGATCAGATTTGTTCTGCAAAAAAAAACCATCATACTGCATTTGAATCAGCACTTTCTGACAGAATAGCGGTTAGGCAATGCAATTTTAAATATTTTAAAGTATCAGAGATATCAGACTATTAATAAAGAAAGAAAACAGTAATGATTAGTTAATATGGAACTCACCAAGATAAATGGACATAATGAGGGAGATTGTTATACAGATAAGGAAATGCTATTCTGTATTCAGTACGGATTGGTTGCCGGATGATAATTTTGTTGATGTCGTTGAATTCATTCCAATCTTCATCCCTAAAAAAACAAAAGAATACTTGAAAAGGCTAGTGACAATATAAAGAGACCATTATTTCACCCATGATAACTGCTTGACCTTTTCACTTTTAGCTCCATGCTTTCTTTCCATATTTCATCTAAGATCTCAAAATGAGGCTCCTTGAGAAAAACAAATGAAAGTAGTCAACTTCTTAAGTGAGAGAGAATTTTTTGTTAAAAAAAAAAAAAAAAAAAAAACCCTAATTTCGCTTGCTGAACCCTATGCTGCGTTGAGTGACGAATCTGTCGCAACATGCAGCCAAAAATAATGGAGGAACTGAATACTTCAATGGGCCTGTTGCATGCAAGAGATACAGCCGTGCGAATAGACTTTTCAGAGGTTAAATGACACGAAAATTACGATGGTCAAATTAACAAAGTCTGAAATACACTCCTTACTGCGCAATTTGCGTTGTTAGGAACGCGCTTTTTCAAATTTCCCGCGTCTGGGGGCAGTTTTCTAACGGAAACAATTAACGGCAACTCGCGGCTATTTCCGGTCAACTAAAACTGACAACATAACCTAAAAATCGGAGCTCGTGATATCGTGAAATGAAATGTAGGAGGATTGCGTTGGATATTTAAAAGTTGATCGATTTGGTTAGCGCATAAAGCGTATATGGACCACTATAAGAGATCACGTTGGGTTTGTAAACAAACTGAAGGAAAAAACAACAACAACAACAACAACAACAACAACGACTCGGCATCTTCCGGAAATCACCGAGCCCGCCGTTTGCTCGTTTCCGGTGATTAGAAAACTGCCCCCAGACGCGGGAAATTTGAAAAAAGCGCGTTCCTAACAACGCAAATTGCGCAGTAAGGAGTGTATTTCAGACTTTTTTAATGTGACCATCGTAATTTTCGTGTCATTTAACGTTTAAAAAGTCTATTCGCGCGGCTGTATCTCTTGCATGCAACAGGCCCATTATGGGATATCGTAACGAATGCATCACGAGATGGACTTCAATAAAAAAAGTAAACGGTAGAACAACAACAAAGTAGGCACAGTGAAGGGTTAAAATTGTGTCCAGAAAGTTATATTCTCAGATTATAAGATTTCTATAAGGAGATTTGTTCATACCTAATTATTTACATAAAATTAGGAGAAAATCAATGGTGGAACTGTAGAAATGCATATCTCAGTTTACAGTGTCACAGTTTTCCTGTTATAATTTGTTTCCTACATAGAAAACCTCGAAACATTATTTCTTGAAAACTTTGGTGATTTTCCTTCCCTATGAGAAGAATACTCTGTCAAAATTTCAAGCCATGATGTTGGTTTCGTTTTTTCTTCAAAAATAAAACGAGAGCACAGATTTTGAAAAATCGTAACTGAGATCTGCATTTTTGCAGTTTCATTGTCAAAAAAGGACGCTATATAGAGGATATAAGAAGTAGTAAAACTAAGGTATGATAACAAAAATACATAAAAAACCAAAAGCACACTTACGCAGGATTTGCATCCTTGATTAACGGTTCAAATTTGGGTCCACCAGGTATTGCCATGTTCAAAGCCTTGGCTGTGAAAAATGACTTCGAATCGAACAGGTAGAAGTAATTTTCGTCAACCAAGTCTGTTAGGAGCTGATTGGCAAGTCTATACAGGGTTGCTAGTTGTGGCAATGTCAAATTCCACTTCCGATAAGTTGAACCATTGATGTGTCTGTGAAGAATAAATGATGTTCAAAACTTAACGTTGAAAATATGGATTCAGTAACAGGTGAGTTTTGGTCATATGACCGATAATTAATATACAGCTATTTTTTGAACAGCAAGGTAACTTGAAAAACTTGATGTCTTAGGAGGATTTTAAATATGTATGTATTACACATGATCCAAACAAAAAAGAGAATGAGTATGAGATTTAAAATGAATTGTTGATTTGTTCATAAATAAAAATATTGTATCTTTCCTTTGGAAAATACACTAAAAAGGTTGATTAGATATTTCGTGAAAATGTTAGATCTCCTGAGGAAGTTTGAAATTGTAAATACTCTATGAAATGGAATTATAAAATACAATTTATAAAAATTATCAAATTACTTGGTTCCGATTAGAGGCTTATGGTCGTAAAACCATTTGTGGACTGGGCCATCTTCATCCGGATCCAGTTCGATCTGGATAGCTTCTAAGGGTTCAACATCCAAGACGTTATCGGCATAATCTAGGGGAGGTTCTTCATCATCAAATGGAGGGAACCTCATTCTCTTGAAATGTCGCCTATCACGTTTTTCTCTCCTCATCATAATCCACATCGTTCTGAAATGAAAATGAAAAATCAGCATGGAAATATATATGTATAATTCCCTACAGTTTAAGTTGTTTTGATTATGGGCGAGGAAGCTAAAGATTTATTTTGAAAAAGGAACTGACAACCAGCTCGTGAGATTGCATTGATTTACATTCACTTTCGCTCGCCACCTCTGTTGCCTGCATTTGAAGCCTATCTGCATGATTTTATAGTACGATTCAATGAATCGCAATGATCACGAGATATTGCAATGGCAAAAGAGGATTTGTACATTAAACTAAAATAAATTCATTTTATTTGTTTCTATGCTTGGCGCATCAGTTAGGCTAAAACGAATAAGTTCTAAATTTTAATTAACTCATTAATGTCTATATGATTCATTGTGAAGGGACAAGGGTTGTCCAGAGAGTGAGTTTACCTTTTTCATATCTCCTTAACTGATATCGATAGTTAAAATCTGTGAAAAGCGGTAAGAAACCACTACTCTAGGCTTGCTGATGCCTTAAAAAGTGGGGTTTTCTGGACCCACTACCTCAAGTTAGGTCCAGAAAGCTAATAGTAATGGCTTATTGACGTATTTTAAAGATTTTCTCTGTTCATCTTAGTTTAGTCTTGGGTTGGTAAACTTACTTTCTGGACAACCCTTGTACGTACAAGATTAATTATGAGAGAGAATAATTAATTCCATATTATTGATAAAATGCTACAAATAGAAAAGAGTGAAGCGAATTCCTTACCCCCACTGTGCAATATAGATAGGTTCAACAACCCACGGTATTTCATTGACGAACGTTATGGCACCAGTTATATGGTACAGAACTTTCACATCACGAATCTGTTCCCATGGCATTGGCATATTTTCTAATAGCTTCATAACGGCGTGAGGCATGTATTTCAAAGCGCTGCAAAAAATCAGGGGGAATTAAAGTAAGAGAAGAGTTTTGGAACAACAGGAATACACTCTTCATAGTTCAATCAATCAGAGATACAAAAAAATCACGAACATACAACTGACAGTTGCCTAGCTCTAGCGTCCTGCTAAACTGTGAAGTCTGCAAATAGTGATTTTGAAAAAGTGAAGACCACAAGAGAGGGTCTGGAGATAAGGACATTATTTCACTTAGGCGTGAGAACTGGATTAAAATGATGGTCATCACTCTGAGAAATAAAAAAGTGTTTTTGAAATGGGAAGGCCACCCTTTCTGCATCTTTGAGCCTGAAACCAATATTTTTAACAATCCGGAGTTCTTCATCAACAGTTTTCCACGATTTTGACTTGATTCTTAAAACCAATAATATATGTAAAGAAAAAAAATTTAAAAATTCACCTCAAACCGTTTTTGCATCAGTAGGTCTTGCTGAAAATGCGCTATTTTTTCAGTGATATTTAAGAAAAAAGAAAAAATGAGAAAGCTACGTAATAATGCACTATTTTTCCTGGGAATATGTAAAAAAATGATTAATTACTTGATTAGTACTACAATATCGCGAAAAATACGCATTTGTTCCAGCGGTTGATTGAGAACATGAGAGATCACATAGCTTTTATCTCAATATCACAAAAATAAGCAATTTTAATATCGATGCAAGCATTTATTATTCATGAACTTCAGTAACTTGAGATAGGCCGAAAGCTATGATTTTCCTTCAGTCTTGCTTGATACTGCATTTCTACTCCTGAGTTCTAGCAGTTGCTTGCTTCATTTCGCCTTGTTAAAAAGTGAGGAATTGGGCCGATTCATTATCTGAATATCACAAGAAATTCGCAATATTTCCAACAGATTCGTTAGACCCTGAGAAATTATGGCAATGAAAACTACTAAAATGCTACTTGGAAACTTACCCAAGGTAGACTCGCTTGTCATGTCTGTACTTTCTACTACTCATATCTCCATGATCACGGATGATTTTTCTTATATGTTCTGGGGGCATTTCTTCTTTCTGTGCATCCACATACCCAAACTTTCTTTTTTCAGCAAATCTTTTGGATTGAAGCTGCTGCCATTTTTGTGCTGAAAATTTAAAAAAGCTTGGGTTAGGTTGGAAGAGGGCATGAGACCAAATGATGAACTGAAACTCTTGTGTAAGAGGATGGTACTTCTGAAATATCAATAGATGTGAAGCCCCCAAATGTGAAGGCCGCTTCGCGGCCAGCAAAATTGTTGAAATCACCCGTTGGCAGTTAATGAGCAAAAAATTTTGATTGAATAACAAAACAATGTTTCAAAGAAAAATTCCCTACCAAACAATATTCTTATTGACTTCCTCCTTACTCTGAATTTTGATTCCTTCTTCGGATCGTCTTACTCTCTCTTCTCACCCCGTGCTTTGGGTGTCTTAAAAATGATTTTATAGGAGTAGAGAGGATAATACTCAAACAATGAAACAGATCATGCTCATCATTCTGAACTTAGAGAGGAGAGTATTTAAATGAATCAAAAGAGACACATTGAAAACTAACCATGTAATCACCGCTGCTACAGTGATTACTTTCCAGTATAATTGTACATGAATAACTGTTAACCGTTTTTTAATTTTCTCAAGTAATTTTATAAAATTTTTAACGAACAGATTGCAGTTCGGTGCTCGAATTGCTCACTTAGACTAGTAAGGAATTGCTCAATAGTTGAAATCATTTAGGACTCAATTGTTACCTTTTTCTTGAAGCTTCTCCTCGCTTAAAGCTTCTGGGAGTTTAGGCTGCGTAGGGAACGGCAGAACATGTTGCTGCTGCTGTTGTTGCTGTAACTGTTGCTGTTGTGCTGCTTGCATCTGCGCATGGACTGCAGCAGCATGCATTTGCTGCTGCTGCACCATAACAGATGCCCACCCAGGGGGCAGCATGTAAGGTGGTATCGCCATTGTCAAACAGCAACTTCACGCTCTTCTCTGAAACAAATGAAGAATAAGTTAAGTACAGATAGAACTCAGAGCATGGTTCCAGCTAGAAGTCTGAATGCTCATCCGATGAGCAGTGCAGCACTTTGCTCTAGCGGCTCCAAAGAGATGACATCGTTTACTAACCCCTGGATGCTGACATTCGTTATCAGCATATCTGTAGCTCATGAACACTTCAAATACTTCCGATGAAAATTGCATCAGAGAGAGAGGAAATGAACTGAAAGCTTTCATATTCTTTGAAATCCAGCTTACACAGAAGTTGTTTAAATAGGTTCACGCAACTAAGGTAAACCCTTACACTAAAGATGAATAACTATATTACTTTATGTATATATTATTCTACCTCTCCTTCTCTATTGCTAATGATTAATATATATATTATTCTACCTCTCCTTCTCTATTGCTAATGATTAATATCTTTTTTTTACTTATAGATTTAATATATTTAAGTGCTGTTTTATGTCAGCACTGCGTCGTGTGCAGTCAACGTTGCGCCTGAATTGGAAACAACAACGAGCTCAGAAAGTAATGAATTTTTGTATTTTATCAGTAAAATAATAAAAGTAACTAAGTAATAGAATTGACGACATTAAATGTATTTGCAGAGGAGGATGATTGAGGAAAAACAATGGAAAAAGGAAACAGTGACAGTCGTAAAGAAGCAGGATGTTCCAACAAGTGACGATGAGTACAAATAAGAAATGGGACCTAACTGGGCATGTAGATGTTAAAAGTTGAGCTGGTAATGAATGAAAACAAGTTAGATAAAAACTTGGTGAAATAATTTTGCACAATTCACATGTAAATAATGTAGTTAGAGAGAGTGTAAGCTTGGGGAGGCCTCCGAACCCGAACCTAACCTACCGCACGGTGTGAACAGTTTCCGATTTCTACTTACAAAAAGAACGCATCTTATTCAGATAAAAAGTAAAAACTTACCAACTCAAAATTATCATTATTATATAATAAACAGAATCACATTACGGGCTTAAAAGTACTTAATTTCACGGAGCATCGAAAACGACGGCGTACGGCGTGAATTTTGATTCTCGAAAGCGAAACTGACGAGTGACGAGTTGCATCGCTCAACATTTATGGCCAACGGTTGAACGGTTGCCATCAAATCAAGAGCGCGAAATATGATTTTAAGCAGATTTTGGTGCAGGTTTATAGATATAATAGGTTATTATAGATCAATAAAAGAAAAAAATATAAAAGATTTGCAATTTCTGGAGATAATTTTTTGAAATCTCATTATGCTGTGAAGTATTAGATTTTTTCCAGGGACGAAAGTGTGCAAGTCGCAGAAAACACAGAAAGTGAAAAGAAGGATTTCTTTTTGCATGAACGTGAGAGGCATAAACATGCACCCATTACCCATAAGCATAACTACATTATGAATAATTTACTGAATTTTAATAGGTACTTTTTCAAACCTAAAGGTGAAAATCCATAATCGAATCGCACTTTGTAATATATTATTCTTCTTTCATAACTTCCTGAAATTTCGAGAGGTATTTAGCGTTAAGTTTCAAGAGTTTATTTTTTATGAAAAAAATCCCGTCTGATTTGATGGCTATTGCACAATCATATACCTTTATAAACTGTATGTTTTGCATGATTTCAATAATTTCTTGCAAAGAAAGTGAGTTGCACCGTCTTGGCAATATTGGAGTGCTCTTGGTTCCTTTTTGCGAAATGCAATCCAACTGACTGTGCTTTTTAGGCAGAGTGTGCCAATCACTGTTTCAGTTTATATTTTTATTAAATACTACTTACCTGGCTATTTGTTTTACTGCACCTATCGCAAGAGTGTTTTGCTTTTGACAGTGGTGTTAAAGTTTCTTTAGGTAATGTTTAGTTAATTTGTGAATAAAAAAAAAATAAAATCACAAGTATGGTGACTTGTAATAAAACTATGTTTCCTATAAGTATTCCAGAGTATACCTAACGTATACTCTTGTTGTAACAAATTGGCAATGGCAAAAAATGGCAAAAGACAAATTGGGATATAATTTTCTTGACACTCTTCCGTTCCAAAAACTGAAAATTGAAATTTAGTCTTGACAAACAAATGACTCGTTTGGAAATACTCAAGACGATAAGAACCTAAAAATTCTCTCATAATTTTCTCTGCTCCAACCTCCGCACTTCAATTAGTCACTTTTATGGATACTGCCACGGCATTCTCTGATTGTTGCTCTGTACTTAGTCCCAAAACTTGCGAACGTATTTTTTTCCTATTTTGAACTCAATGATTAGAAAATGACTGCTTCCTCTATTTCCCTATGAGATAAGCTACCTTTAAAGCAGAGAATTTTATTCAACACAATTAATCTTTCATATCACAGAGCACTGGTAGGTTGGACTGAGTTAGCAAGAATAGTCACCCAGCTGTAAGTTCCAGCCAAAAACATTAGATTAGAAATTTTGTCTCTCCATGACACTCAATGAAAAAAAAAAAAAAAAAAAAAAAAAAAAAAAAAAAAAAAAAAAAATTATCCTCCTCCTTTGGCTATTTTCTGTAGAGGTGGAACTTTTGTAAAGAAAAAGACTCCAATGTTGAAGCTTTTGAATTTGGAATTCATTTGTTTAACATAAAGGATTCAAAAACTTAAAATCGAATCTAGAGAAGGACTTTTGAAGGCCCTTCAGTCATGGTAAATTTAAATGAGGGTTTCGACTGAGGGAAATGCAAAAGTAATATAATGCTTCAGTTCGACATAATATGATGGACACAGCTGACAATGAATGAACAGCACAAGAATGACTTTCGTTTCTAACTTGTGCCATTAAACTATATTTTGCAATTTAGAACTACAATTTCTTGCTCGTCTGTAAAAACACTTATGTGAATGGGGAAAATATTGGTACATACATTTTTCCTGAACTGAGCCAAAAATTGTACCTAGTTCCTAATTGCAAAATATTGTACAGTTAAGTTGAGATGAGGGCACTTCTCGGTTGCAGTGTTACAGAATATCTGCTGTTAACTCTAATTTTAAAGAAGAGACTAATGGGTTATATTTCTTTAATTTTTGGTTTAAAGCATGGTGAAATCATAGAGAAAATGCTGTAAAAGTTTCAACTGAGTAGATGAAAGTTTTTGCTTTCCTTATAATGGTAAAGATATGATATAATGGATGCAATGTTGGACGTAGATGAAAAATTCTGAGATACCATAACCGAGAAATGCCCTTCATGCATCCATCACCTCAATTATTGAAGGAGTTATGCCAGAATGATCAAATCTACTAAAAAAATGTATGCTTTCATAGAAAATACCGCCATGTAGATTACGAGGCAGAGAAATTTCCTAATATTTAAACCTGTTTCACCATTTTCTTATGACATAGAAAAAATTGTAAAATATAATGTAGATGAAATTCATCAAGCACTTTCATGTGAGGCAAAAACAAATCCTCCTTCTTGTTTAAATCCTCCATTGAAAGCTATAGACAAAATGTACGACATCTCCTTAGACTCTCTCTGACACATTCTGGGAAAATTTCCTGACTTTTGGGGAGAAAAACTAGAATAATTATCAACCATCACAATAACCATCCACTTTCCGAAAAATTGTGTTTGATGGGATGTATTGTGCATTGTTTCAAACAGAGAGCAAGTACAGAAAATGATTTATGAACAAATTAAGAGAAAAACCATTTCGTTTTCAAGTACTATTTATATTTAATAAATACTTCTATCCAAAACAGATTGTTGCACAGTTTGATGTTATGGCATTACAAAAGGAATTTTTACAAACCTATCTAATTTAATATTTTGAAGACTGATAGTTTATACATACAAGATACGTATAAATATGATGATTAAAATATTAATGATCATCTTAACCACAATAACTTTAACATTAGTGGAAGTCTCAAGAATTCAATTCACAAAAAAAATAAAATAAAATAAAAAATTATAATAACAACATGAGAACTGATAAATGCAGCCTTCTCCGTGGAAGTTACTTGATTTGTTCAAAAGTGGCTTTTGACATTTAAATGCAGGATAGCCTTGAGGTTGGAATACATTGTGGTTGCACAGCTTAGAATTGTTCTACTTGACGAGACTCACAAACATCTGCATTTCAATATTTTCGATAACCATTTGAATAAAAAAGCCTTTAAGATGTGATTAATGACGATTTTAACAAGTCTCTTGGCAGCTGGAGCAAAATTGTATATGTATGAATGTAAATACTAATGACAAAGGTTTTTCAAACATGGATTTGTTACAAGTTTTCAAAACGGAGAAGATTTCTTTATGTATTCATGGCGTGATAAAAGAAAATCTATACTTTCAGAGAAACATTCTACTGTGTTTCTTACAACTTAAAATTATAAAAAGGGTACATCTTCCAAACACAGCCCACACTTAGTATGATAAAATTTATCAGTTCTTGGGTTAATATTGCATATGTTATAGTAAGAGTCAGTCAGAATGAGAATGGTGAGTCAGGGGAAAAACCATCTTTGCAATTTAAAATCAAAGTAGCCAAGAAAAGGTAAATTAGTAATTGCTCCAGTGGGCCACCAGCCAAGGTCTGAACAAGAAAAAAACATTGCATGCTCTCTCTTCAGGATCTTACGTTGACGATGCTTCTCACGACGTTGAGTTAACTGGTCAAAGGACCAATGTCAATTATACACTTACATCTTGATCAGAAGTTGATTTGCAGACTTCCTGTTACGTTCTTTGACTATCTTGTGAAATTTTGACGAGGAGTTGAGTTGCAAGGTGCTTCAATTCATACCTTCTCTAGGAGCCCATTGTCAGATTCTACTTTGAAGAATGATTTTTGGGGGGGAAAAAAAATGACAGATCTGGAAAGGATGGAGTCATTGGTAAAAAAGAACTTTCCATCAACCAATTTTTTCCCCGGAGAGATCAGGCAATACAAAGCAAAAAAATGTTAAATTTGTCTTAAAAATACAGACTACACCTCCGACTGGATTAAATGCGGATATGTGAGGTCATAAATATGAGTAATGCAGTATAATTTAGAAAAAGTGTTTTAAAAGTCTAAAAATGTAAAGGAAGAGTAAAGATTAATAAATGTAAGAGAAGTAATAATACTAGTGTTAATATTTCATGATTACGATAATTTACGATGATAAATCATGAGGATAGTAACAATTAATATGTTGCCTTAAGGCTAGAATGGGTAGAACATAAATCAAGACGATAAAATAGGGGCCTCAAATAATCAGTACAAATTTAGACCAGGAATGACATGAGATCAGGATCCGTTGTAGTTTTCGAACAGAAAACTGAGTGTCATCAGTCAACGGATTCACAGTTGAGTGTTGAACTATCCAAAAGATGTATCCGCCATTAAACTGAAGAGTCTTCATACTACTCCTTACACAATTCATTCTCAGCTGGAGCGTCTTGAGTTCTTTACTGTTTTACTTGAGACTGCTTGAAGTCATACTACAGAGGAAAAAATACTTCTTCTACCCTAGAGGAGCAAGAAAGTAAAATGTGCTCCATCTAAAAGCTCTCTAAGTAAAGACTCCCTTTCATGATGTGCTCATTTTTCCTTTTTTAAGAGAAATATTGCTTCTACAAGGCACGTCAGTATAATGGACTACTTTCTTTTGGAACTCAACTTACAGACAGTGAAAATGGGACAATGATCTTACAACTAGGTAAAGCGAAATAATAATTGGCTAAAAAATTTGAACTAAACGACAACTTCCGAGATGTTCCAGGGACACCATCTTTCGCGAATGCGCCCCTGCAGTGAAGGGATTTAATTCCAGGGAAAAAGCGTGCATTCTTGGGGTTTTAGCATTCATTCTGACACCCAGCAGTAAAATTTAAAAAGCTTTGCAAACCTGCGCAACAAACAAGCACTTGAAAATACATATAATTGGCATAAATAAAAATATAATTTAAGACTAGCTCTTTGTTACAAAAGACTAAAAAAGAGGAAGAAAGTGGAGCCTTCAGGTATGAGAACTTCAAGAAAGCGGAAATTCAACTCTTTCAGCAATTTTTAGACTGCTTCTTCAAAATTTCAAGATCATCAGGCTCAATAGAATTTTTGTAACATCAGTACAAACTTTGTAGCTCCTAATAGTAAATGAAAAATGCACACACAGCTCATTGTACAAAATCTGATGTTCTTTTCATATCAGTACATTGAAATGAGCTGCTGTCTCTAATTATTGACTTGAATGAAATGAAAGGAATGAAGGAAAGATACTTCGTTCAGCGAGATAAAAGGGAAAATGTGTTTTAAATTATTAGAAGCGGTTTATCAAGTTCTGTTAATAGATCAGCAATCCTTACAGAGTTCAGTTCATACGTAGAGTATTCTTTAACAAATCATCTTTGGCAAATAAATTAGTTTTCAATGAGAAAATTTTCTTATGAGGACCAAAGTTTTAATTAGGAATTAGGAAATACAAAAAAAAAAAAATATATCCGAGGAAACACAGTCTTAAGTCTAAATAAAACCTTAATTGAAAGTCTTCTTTGATTGCAGCAAATGGAATTTATATTTGATTTAATTAAATGTAATTTCTTGAACGAAGAGGAAGGACTTCATCATGGACAACTTTCTTACAATTACCTCAACCAAATTCCAAACTGAATATTTTAGCCAGGAAAAGAAGGGGGGATTCTGACCAACAAACAGGAATGTTAAAGAAGTTTTTAACACAAAAATTAGTATTTCATCTCACAAACTTCATTTTGGGATATAATTTGGAATTTATTCAAACTAATTTTCGAGAAAAAATTGAAATTATCAGAGAGTAAATAACAATCTTTAACTAGGCGCAAGGCTTTAATTGTGCGTTACTTCCCCAATGTCCTTTACTCACTGACTTTGGAAAAAATAAAATTTGAATTCTACATTGATTTAATATTGAAAATGAACACGGATGACACTAATTCTAGTTTACGGAAGTATAACAAAACAACCCTTTAATGGTACGATAGCTTAGATTGAGAATGAGTCTGATCACCTAGACTACGACATAATACACAAAATAAAATTGGAAATATTCTGTACATTATGAGTTGGAACATTTACAGGCAAATGATACAAATAGGTATATTTACAAGAACACAATTTACTAGAAAATACAGAAACTGAGCAAGCAATAAAAGCCTCATAACTTTTCGTAGGGGAAACAGGGGTGCAAAAATGTTTGATTTACCTCGCACGGAGTGTTAGATTTTTCCCAGTTTCTCAAACCGATATGAGAGGAAGAAAAAATGAGGGAAAAGATAGTTGCCTTGCATTTGCTACGGTCTGTAAAAAGTGAGATCTGGCAATTTTTGCACCCCTGAACAAAAAATTAGAAGTATCGAAAAATAAGAAGCAGAGTTGGAAAAAAATGATGAAACTGATGAGAACCCGACCTATTTATGTGAAAAGTTAACTAAATGTTATTAACTTGCCAATGAGCTTTAGGCTCAACTCCTCAAAAGAAAATGTTTCCTCTACCTTTGGAATTAGAAAGGGAGGAATTGAAAATTTCTAATTTTTTCCAATTATTACCACAATGACTCTAACTCGTTGGTGAATATACTCAGTAATGTTGAGTCTCTAGTAAGCGCTCTCCCTCCTGATTTATATCTTGTCATTATTTCAAGGGCATTCACTATAGGTTCATATGTGACTGTACTAATTATTACATGTTGCAATCAAAATGATAAGGTTTCTTAAGATCAACTACTACAATTAGATACATTTAATAATTCATTGAATTTCTGATCAAAAATATTTTCAATAGCTTAAAGTTCAATAAGTGTTTAAGACCTTAAGGACTCAAAACCGCAAAAACCTATGAGTCTGGATGGTTTCTTCTTTTCATATTATAGTTAGCTTCATTTTATGGAAGCATGGAACTGTACTTGGGATTTTGGTCAGGAGATCTGAGTTCCAATTTCTGTATGAAGGTTGGTTGAAAATTTCGAATAATTGTACAAAAAAAAGAGAAAAAAAGAGAGAGAAAAAAGCAGAGGGGGCTTTCTTGAAAAATTCAGCATTTTATACACGGTAAATTGTACAATATGAGAAGCTGCTGAAAGACCAACAAAAACAGAAGCATGTACATGATAAAACATCACAAACATGAGATATATATTTTATAAGCATAACCAACATTAAACACTATTTACACTATTCAATACTAGCTTTAGATTTACGCACGTTTAAGAAAATAAAATGAGAGAATCAAAATTTTGATTTTAATCGTAAACGAAGAAAAACGAGGCAGAAAAAATGGAACTGAAAAGCGGTGAACGAAGTTTCACTTTGAGAGGAGGTAGAACGGGGAGAGAGTACCAAATTATAATGGACATTGTACATAAGTTGATACACAGTTTGAACGGTTTAGATAACATCGTACATTTAAAAGAGCACAGGCAATATTTGTGCAATTGCTGATAAAAAGCTCATTGGTAGATTTGAAACAGCCAACAAGATATTGGTATGTATAAATGCATTGAGGGCTGAATAATGAAGCACTTACCACCAAAAGGAAAAAGAGAAAAATGAAATGTTTTTTTCTAAACCAGGAAAAATAATTCGCTAAAATTCATTACTGGTTCAGTTGGAATAATAAGATTTTGGCGAAATTCTCTTCATGATTGTACAAAATTACGTACTAACCAAACTTTCATACAAAATAGAAGGGATGAAATTAAGGAATAAGGCTTGAAAAGAATCAGAATAGGAAATGTTGAGTGAGACAGATATATCAATAGTGAAACTCCCAAACCATGTATCCTGGTTTGCAACATTGTAGACTTCTTGTCATACTTTCCTTTTTGAATAGGAAACTACTCAACGTCAATTCTTTAAAACTTCTGTGATTTTTCCTCTGTGTGAAAAAGGCTCTGTAAAATCTTCAAAGAATGATGTTGATCTGTTCTCCTTCAAAAAAATATAATGGGAGCAAAGATTTTTGAACACCGCTGATGAAGTACACAATTTGGGAGTTGAAGACATAGAGCTTGTTTTTTCTCTTCTGCTTCTTTAAATCATCGAAAAAAGTTATTTCTTTTCTTTTCCCCCACTTAGGGACTACAACTTCCCCTACATAGTTGGATGCATAGCTTTTAAGCTTCTCGATCAGTCCAGCGGCAACTTGCTTTGGGACCAATCAGAGGCCAGAATTTTGTCACATTACTTTGGAGTCTTCGGTTGGCTAGAATTTTCAAATTTTCGAATATTTGAGGAGCTACTTTAGTTATTTAATTTTTTTAGTACTAATTTAATTCACCATCTAAAAGACATTGGTGCACTTTCTGCACCTTTCTTTCAGAGGCACAGTTTCAAGTAAAATTCAAACAAGTCGAAGAGATTTGGCGTTAAGGACAAAAAATATAACTCCATAAAGGAACTTACATAAATGGGAGGAAACAGGGGTGCAAAAAGCTCCAGAATATCCACCGTTCCTTAAAAGAGAATATCCTGCCTTAAAATAAAATTTCCAATTTCCCTCGCAAAAAGTTCCAATTTAATGGTACAAAGTGCAATTTACTCCAGTTTTACCAAATGCTGAACATAAGAAGAGGGGAAAGTTGATCACTTTTGAAACTATGCAATAGGCTAGAGATTTCTCACAGATTTGCTGCAATAAACAGAACTAAAGATAGGGCATTTTTTGCACGCTGGAAGGAAAATCTAGCCAACTGAAGTTAGTCTTAATCTCCTAATATTATGTGAAGCAGCAGTGAGATAAAACGCAAAATATCACTTTTACACTTAAAATATTTGAAAAGCAGTGCAAGGTTTTTTTTTTTTTTTTTTTTTACAAAATTATAAAATTGTCAAAAACTTAATTGTCTGAAACCCGCAATTTAGATAGCTTTTATTAGAAATTCATGCAACCATTAACTTAATGCAGTCTTCATCATCTAGAAACGAAACAAAATTATTTTTTCTATTATTTACAGCATTAGAATTTTCTAGGGATCAAATTTCGTTCTAACAATTTTAGTAAAAACTCAGTTTCGTAATTGAGCAGAATACAATAGTGAGAAGCTTGCTTGAGTGCCTGTACTCAATTTTTTTTTTCTATTTTGTCTCTTTACATTTTGAGTCAAATGCTATGGGTAAAATGAATTGACAAGTGAAGAGTGTTAGAGATAAAAAAGAAAAAATACCTCAGGGAAAAAGTATACAAGAAATTAACTTAAGTAAGAGTCCAACTGTTTAAGTATTACATTGAGTATTCAAAGGAAAACTAGCTTTTACGCCAAATGAAAAAATTCTGAAATGATATGATAATCTCCAAATTTACTTGGAGGGCTAAAATAAAAGACAATATCACAAATGTCAAAAGTTGAGGCAACCTTTCCACCATTACATTTGAATTTAAGATGAAAGACTAACGAGAGTCACCAAGATGTGAAAAAAGTTCATTCGTACAGCCATGTTCTGTCTGAAGTACGGAACTTCAAGATAAGCTTGAACATCAAACAAAAAATTAAGTAGTTATGTAGTTGCTGGGACATTTTTCAACCCATACCAATTAGAAATAATTGATGATAAAAGAATGAAATCTAAAACTTTCTAAATTTTTGGTTTATTCATTCTCTGCCAAGAGGGACTATTAGACGTAAGTACTATTAAAACCAAGAATATTTATTCTGAGTGTGTCACTTCAAACTTTACCTCACTTGGAGGATTTTCTTAATACAAAAATTCTCACAACCTTTCACTTAGCCAAGAAAAAACCAAAATAAAAAAAAAATATATATTAAAAAAACCATGTTCTTCCAATTTAAAAAAATTATTAAACTAAAAAGTGTAGAAAAGAATAATTGTAAGAATGACGATTATGAGTATGGATTTTGATTTGGATACTTCGATCAAAATAAAAAAATTCCCAAAAAATGTTGCGGCTAGTACGGTTGATACTTTTTTGCAACTTTATTCAAATGGCTTTGGTTTAATGAAGTTATACAAACAATGTTTCACACAGTATGATTTTGGGTTATACGAGAGAACAGAGAGAAATGTATTTAAAACATTCAACTAAGAGTCCTCAGATAAGGAATTTTAGTATCTTAATTTATAGACTTTGTGCCTGCTTTCCTTCCTATATGCTTGACTTTTTTTGAAGCTCATAAAAAGATTTGACAGAAATAAGACTTACACAAGTATAGAGCCCTTTGAGCTTAAAGTGCACAAGATATGTCAGTCGGCACAAAAACTGCCACTACCTGGCGGTAGTAACTGGATCTACATAAGGTATAGCTGTTTTCCCAATTATTTTATTGAGAGCGGTTATTATTCTGATAAAAATAACAAAAGGGGGGTGTGAGGGAAAAAATTCCCTTCAACATTGTTAGGTCTACAAAAATACGTTGAAAAGTTACATAATATTAGAGCTAGAAAATGGGAGTCACAGGAAGTATAAAAATTTGAAGAAAGGGATGAGGTTACATCGAAACATTGGAACGTGAGCAATATGTAATAGATTACATGGTCAGGGTATGTCATTTTTCTTCTGCTAATCTGATCCCCTCGTTTGGCTTGATACGATGAAAGAAACAATATGTTTCTGTATTATGAAGAACTCCAAACCTGTCATCAATGAGGTATTTACCTGCGGTTCAGTTCAATTTTGATAGCTGCAAACACAAAACAAAATTGAAGAAAAATTGAATCAATTACAAAAAATAAAATAAATAAATAAAAAGATAAATAATTAAATTTGCTAAAACTAGAGCTGTGGGATTAAAGATTCTTGAATGTCTTTCAGATTCGATTACAATTAAAAAAAATTGACTCCTATTATGATTATGATTAAAATTGGAAAATAAAAGAAAATAATGATAAAATTTTGTCTCCTTCATTTTTATGCAGCTTTAGTGGCCAAAAAAAAAGTTTCAGTAAATGAATTCTTGAAGAATTCTTCGAAAGACTTTGAAAGCTGATAGTTCTGCTCCAATATTCTATCTTCTTCTTTCACAGCCCAATTCACACGATTCAACTTTTCACCCGACTAAAGCGGACAAAAAGTTGAATGGAGCGTTGAATGCAAAAAGTTTGATTCAATAGCCATGGCCGAGTGATATTTTCAAACGGATTTAGGGTATCTCTATTACCTTCCCGGTTTGCGAAGATATAAATTCAGCTAATGTTGGTGGGAAGATTTTGTTTCAACTTCCTTTTCAATTTTCAATTTATTGTCCATTGGACAGTATTTTCCGAAAACACTCTACCCTGACTGGCCGCGCGGATGCCCCTCGGAATTTACATTTAAGAAAAAACCGCTTGTAACAGTAACCCGCTTATGACATTACATTTTGCCCATCCCAATGCGTTCCGTTACATGCAGTTTCTACTGTTTGAAAATATTTGCTCAGATAATGGTTTTGAGGAGACACAGATTGATTGAAAAAGAGAACTAGAGCACAGAGCCTTGCACAAAACGTTATGAAAAGGGCAAGCTAAAATTCAATAAATTACCCATTCTTACCGTCAATAATATCCTGTTTCATTCTACTAATCTCTTTCTTCATTTCTTTCAGTATTTCTTGTTTGAGTGATTCTAGCTCGGATACACTGCCATTCACTTTACCGCACCCAACAAGCTCTTCAGAAGAATTTGCCAACTGCTTTCTGACAGGCTTAGGACTTTCACAACCGCTTTTACTGTTAGGACTGTTCCAAGATTTTTTTGCATCACCTGACACACCATCACCATCCTGGAAGGGACAGAAAGTTATACAATCTTACACACTGACAAAAACTGAACTACATTTTACAATAAGGAACTACTGTTTTGATGGTGAAACAACCCAACCACTCATCTCGGTTTGCAACATTACAGACTTCTTGCCATACTTTCTTTTTGAAATAGAGAATTACTCAATGTCAATTCTTGAAAACTTCCGTGATTTTTCATCTCTGCGCTAAGGAAATGCTGAGAAAAATTCAATTAATGATGTTGCTATGTTCTCCTTTAAAAAAGTAAAACAGAAGCTGAGATCTTAAAACATTGCAACCAAGATAGTTTAAGTTTCACCATCAATTTCTGACTCACCCATGAAAGCACCTCCACAATGAGCCAGAAATAATCGTTACATATTGCAAAATTAAGGCCAATTGGTTGCTGTTATTTTAATGACTTCACAGGCACAGTATTTCCATGTGTGAACACAGATATCTGGAAGCTGTAAATATAAAAGCACTCCTGTTGATTGCTAACTTTTGACAACCCTCTCCCCCTCTCCTTGGATAAACACTACCTAAATCAAGTTTCTTTCTCGGCAAGCTTATAGTCATTGATGAAACTTTGCCGAATTTCCCAACTTGTTCACCATTAATGTTGATCCATATTTCATTTGAATACAACACTTTTTTCCACTCTGGTTGAAATTTGCAGCAGACCTTTTGTAGACACATAGAAATTTACGACTAAACAAGTAAAACTACTAACCTGGACTACGTCCGTTTGTGTTTTCTCAACAGCAGCTCTTCGCCTTGCCAATGTGCGAGTCATTTCATCTAACATTGATGCCATTCCGGTGGTACCTCTCAAAGTTCCATAATTTCCAGCGCTACCATTACTGCTCGTTGATGATCCACTATTCTCAGCAGATTGCTGCAAAAACCATTGGGAAGTAAAAAATTGGTTAGTTTTACATTCACTTGATGTAATTTACGATCATTTCACACATACCATTAATTAAGTATTTTACGAGAGGCAGATGAAATATAATGATTAGGATACCTACATTAACAGTGGACAAAATATAAGGGTGCATGAAATGGACTACAAGACAAGGTTAAGAACCAAATAACACTATTCATGCCCACTCATCAAAATTTCAACGAATTTTTTTATAATCATCATTTTGATTTTTTTCTTGCTTTTAGAAACATTAATACCTTGGATTTTTTTTAAAAACAATGAAAGCTGAATTTTAATTAGATGCCTCTGTCAACGGGTCAGTTTCATGTAAAAAAAATATTGAATTAAACTATGAAAACAAACCCAAGAGACTTCATTTTCCTGACTCTGGATGTATTCTAAATGCAGAAAAATACGAAAAGAAGGGAAACAGTATAGTACCTTGTTAGCTCTTCGCAGCCTGGCTGACTGCAGCTGAGCAGCAAGGGATCCCGGGTCTTGGTTATCACTGGAATTAGACCGCGACATTGAAGCTTCGGGTTCAACGCTCGTTGATATTGGTTGAGGAGGAAGAGGCGGACAGGGGGGAGGGCAAGGGGGTGCTACAGGTGCAACTGAAGGGGTTGCTAACGACATTGGTGGTGGTTGGGGAGCTGGAGGTGCGGATGATGTGCGATGGTGCCCTGGCACTTGCGGGGGCACTGGAGAGGCTTGAGTCCCAGATACACCGACATTGTTTAGGCCACCGGGAGAGGATGCTGTGCTCGGACTACTGACTGTAACCAAGAGCAAGAAAAAAATTTAGATTTAGGATGTTACAAGATTGGGCTTTTTTAATTTGAGAGTCCTATTTGAATCATGTTGCGCCATCAGGAACAAAATACTGAATTCTGAAGGACCAACCAATAATCTAGGAAGAGCTCTTTTCCATGGTTGCCTTATAGTTATTTCTGCAAACTGTTGTATTAGAAATACGACTTTACGTTGGTTTTCGGGACAACTGTTGGTGTTATTAAGAGGACAAATATACTTTAGTATAAAAGATAGTCTTTTCACTTTCATCATGAGCTGTCTTAAGCTTTAACATTTTGGAAAACTGGTAACTCTTCAATTGAAATTTACTAAAATCCTATCTGAAATCGTAAAATTCAGAGCATTCTTGCCAGAAACTTCAATTTGTGGACCATCAAATACACCAGATGACACTCAATACTTTTAGTGGTAAGTGCTGTAGTTACTAAGACACCATGATAAAACACGAAACTTACAGTAGTATTTAGAAATGAGCTCATTATCATACCAACTTGTTAGTTTTAGATTCATTTTTTAGCTTACAAAATTACTGAAAATTTGGACTGAAAATTTGGTCGCAGAGATTTTCTGTTTAATTTTCTTTTAAATAAATTTAGAATCTTTTAGTCAATGGAATACAATTTGACAGTCGTTGTTTATTTGTACAGAATGGGGAGAAAATTATCATGCTGATCGAAGCTACTTACTTTGAGACTGTGATGACACCCGCCTTTCCTGTATAATTGCTACATCCTCTCGCGTCATGGTTCTGCAAAGAATGAAAAGAAAAAATTAAGGAATGCCAATTGTTTATCTTCAAAAAGATTGTAAAAATAGTTCAGAGGTCAAGATTCTTGATAAGCAGCTGATGAGAAGCAACTGCAGTTGTGCATTGACACCTTTGAGACCTTGACTGATTGACTGGATTTTATTTGCTCAATAACCTCACAGTGTATGTGTATTTTGTCCATACACACAACCATAATGTAAGAGTTTAGTGAGCATAAATGGTAGATTTTGACAAGAATTGACTTGACTACACCAGACCTTACCAAATTCCTCCTCATGTTTTATTTCTTTAACAAGAAACTAAGCTAAACTCCGGCTAGAAATTTTCAACATGCATTATTTAGAATCTGAGGTAGGGGATAATAATCTTCGACTTTTGGTTCTTTTAGTAAACCTTTCACAAAAATTACCTTTATTTCTTGACTTGAGGTTTTAAACTTGATAGACAAAAATTGATGGCACAGAAAATAATAAAAGTTGAGAAAAAACTTCAAGAAGACTGACATTCCTCTAGTTGCTACGAACTTCTGTTTATTTTATATTCAGTCTCACGCCGTGTAGATAAGACAAAAATTCATTACCGCAGGGCAGTAAAATTTTAGTAATTGTTTTATAGCATCTGTGCACACTTAGGTTCCTGCAAAGAGAGAGCTATCACGACTGACATTTTCAAACAGCACGAGGGGAAGTTTACAGCAATATACTGTGTCATTAACATAATTACAAAATGTATAATAAGGAGAAAAGTTAGCCCCAAAACACCAAAAAAGAGTTATTGAATGAGTTAAGAAAATTAGTAGCCGTGCAAATTTGTAAAATTTCATAGACATTAAAACCGAAGTTCTGTAAAAAAAAAAAAAAAAAAAAAAAAAAAAAAAAAAAATCAAAGGATTAATCAAAAACTTTGAAATTCCTCCGTTTTCCTCACTTTATCTTTGTACTTAAGATTAGTTTGTGGTTTAGAGATATAAAATATGCATGTGATGCAGCAGTACAAGTCAGACATCTGCAATTTTTTTGGGGGGGAAAAAAAAACTGTTGACCATCTTTTGAGTATTAAAATTATCCAAAATATTTGTTGCCCCTTTGAGAGAAGGGCGTCCCTTAGTTTCTACCAGAGCCTCAAGTAACATAAGCTTATTCAACGATATGGTTCATCCAAAAAACCAGTTATGCCCTTGCATTAGAGGAAGAAAGACAAACTAGGGAAGAGATCATAAGATTTTGTCTCACTAATTAAGAAAATTGTGTGACTGAGAAGAAAGATATACAGAAAGGTTGTTAAAACACCACCAAATATACTTATTAGGAAAAAAAAGAAGGAGAAAAAAATGAGGAAAAAAATAAGGGAAAAAAATAAAGATAAAAAAAAAAACAGGGGACATTGTACCTTGAGTTGGGACTAACATCTATCCTAGGTGGGCCGCCGGGTGAAACTTGATGGTACATTCGGTGACCTACTACTGGATTGTGACTGAAAATGTGAAAAGTACTTGTTAACATTCCATTTTAAGTCACATTTTCTGAAATCCCTTCCGACATGAATAAAAGTGAACTCATGATTTAGAACCCCCAATGATCTTGCAATTTTGTGGTGACAATCTATTAGTTTCTTTGAGCATGTTTGAAACCACGCAAAATATTCAGGGGAAAAAAAATTTAAATTGAGAGGAAATGTAGACGAGGGTACAAAAACAATGCTTAATAATGAACACCTAAATTTGACCCAGGTGAGGGTTAAATCCACATACTACAGGAATTTTAAACAGAACTAGGGGGCTATGCCCCTTGACCGTTTCGCAGTCCAACCTCCGGTTTACACCTCAGGTGCAATGTGGTGCTGTTATGACTTTATGTTACACAGTATATGATATGATAAACTGAGGCTGACGCATAGAAATATGACAAAAGACTGGATAAGTACTGATCAATGCTGATGCTCGATGCTCTCATGGCTTCCTATGATAGCACCATTAAATCTTCTTAACAGTTTGCTATTTATTTGTTAAAAAAGAAAAAAATGTTGATGATAAGATAAAGAATGTTTTCTTTCAAATCTTACCAGTCATTGCAGTAGTCGTTAAATATTTTTTGCCTCTCCCCTACGATTTTCTTTTCTTGCCTTTGATTGTCGTGTTTTAAGATGAATTCTGCTTTTCCAAAAGTTTTTGAAAACGACCTCTTCAAGAAAAACAAATCCTCATGTGACTAATAATTTCAATTCTCACATGGGTAAAAGTTTTGGTAGTTCAACGTATGGTTTGAGCGGCACTCAAACTCATCAAAAAGTCACTAGAAGGGGGAGAGGATTGAGAGAGTTGGGTTAAAAATATTAGATAGACCACAGGTTTAGACCTCCTGTAGCATAAACTCATCACAAGAAATAATTTCTGGACCCTCGCTACTGTAATTCAAGGAAAAATGATAGATGCATCTGATGAAAAAGTCATCTCACCTATATCCCATATCTTCATCGTATTGACTAACTGCCTGTTCATATGTTGGAGGAGGTCCAGGGTCTACTCGTGCGGGCCTATTACTTGCACTTCCTAATACCTGGAAACACAATTGTTGAAAGGGAATTAATAAAACAATAGCATAACTGGTCACTTTTCATCCAAAAACCAATCATGCAAGAACAGTGTTCTGCCTTCCTCGGGCACCATGCGCCAAATACACCTAAAAATCGGGCCTAAAGCGCTCTCAATACGCACCGTTTGCAGCATCGCCATGGCTTGTAAGCAAAAATTTAATTTGGCTCCTAAAAAATGGTAGATGGCTCCTAAAAATTGGGATTTCACGCCAAGGTGGCTCCTAAAATTTTAGGGGGAGGGCAGTACACTGTGCAAGAATAATAGATGGAAGGGAAGGGGAAGGCACATGGATCAACTGCACCTTTTTTCCCCTTATTTTTCAGGCGGTCTATGATGACGTAGCCAAGCAGGGAAGGAGGGAGGGGGGAGAGGACTGCATTCGCTAACTGGCTGAGCCCAGCTTCAAGCATTGCTTTGCTACATCCGAGTTCCACTTTGGGTTTTTTCAAAAGCTCAGGTATGAAAGAGGTATTGGTCATTGCTGACTTACGAGATTTGCCCCACCATTTAGAAAAGAGAGAAAAAGAGAGAAGAAAAGAAAAGAAGGATACTCACTTCTACAGCGTACATCATCGCCCTGGCAAATGCATCTGCATCTTCTTTGTTACTAAAATTTAAGCCATAGACTTGTTTGTTGTCCCGCCATTGGTGGAATGTTGCTGTAGCTTGGTTGTACTTCAAACTTTTCAAAATGACACAATTAATCACCACCTGGAACAAAATTAAAATCAAAGATGAAATAAATTTAACGTAAAAAAAAGCAGGGCCGGGTCGAGGGGGTAAAATGTAGGGGGCGGAAAATTTTGCAATTGTTTTGAATGTAGGTATCAAAAAAAGGATAACAATCGGATTCAGAAAATAAATTACAAACGAGAAAAGGCGACAAAATCTCTCATTTCCTGAGAGTAAAAGTACAGTAATTTCTAATTTTGTCGTCTTTCGGTGATACAAGAGACGACACCTTTAATTAGTCGAGTTAAGAGAGAAACCAAACACGCAATTTGACCTGGAACGGAGCGGCGCGGCTGTTGGCATAAAACGCATAGCGCCTACAAGACTGCAGGAATACTTCACGCATTGCGTCAAACACACTGCGGTCAGCAGTAGTCGGCTTGAAATGCATAGCGCCTACAAGACTGCATGAATACTTCACGCATTGCGCCAAACAGTGTGCTCAGTAGCGGTCGGCCGGCGTGAAACGCATAGCGCCTACAAGACTGCATGAATACTTCACGCATTGCTCCAATGCAGTGCGGTCGGCGCGGCGGTGGAAGTTGAAATTTTTAACCATATCTATGTTTGTTCTTTCATGATTTTTTCGTTCGTTTATAAGTGGAAGGCCTTGTCCAAACAGGGATGGGTTTACAGAACTGAACTCTTGTAAGTGTTGACAGGGCTTTCACAAAAAATGTGCCCAACACGAGTAAACGCGTCTCATACACCCTTCCCCCACCGGCACGTTCACTCGATGGTTTTTATAGATCGTATTCGACAGATCACTCAGGTTAGATTATATTGATATCGATTGGTTCGATATGTAACCACAGCCTCAAGAGTAAATTTAGAAATCTGAGGTAACGGGTCTTATGTGATCGAATTTTCATTCTCTCGAGTACCAAGTGGCAATGAAAAGTGAAATTGTCAGGAATTTTCTCATTTTCAGCTTTTCTAAATTAAATTCTAAAATGTTTGTTAGAGGTTATGTTCTATTGTTTTGAACCAAACGATATATCGAACCACTGTCGAATGCGATCTATTGATGTTTCAAAACAAATGAGAAGGGGGCGGAAAAATACAGGCGGCCCATGGCCGGCAAGTAGGTAAATCCGGCCCTGAAAAAGAGCAAGAAGAAAGGGAAAAAAGAAAAGTTTTGAATTCTCATCTAGTAAACCAAAAAACTCCGATGAACAAATAACAACTCTTCTATAAATACTTGCTATAAAAACTAGGCTAAACAAGGCTAAAAATCGATACAGAAACCCCATCATTACTGTGAGCTCTCTGATCACCTAAATTTTCATTTTTCGTCACAGTTTGCTCTACCGTTCGATTGGGCTGATATACATGTATGATTTGTGTGGCTATCGACAAAAGATAATCCCTAGATGAGCCCGTTTCATTTAGATTTTAGGAATATGACCAAGGTTTTTTATATGACGTGATATAGTTGTGAATTCTCCCATTTGGACAATACTCAAGTTCATTTTTTGTGACACTTCGTTTTAAAGATCTACCGGGCCGATTTTCATGGTTTTTGCGGCTATCGATAAGAAATAGGCCCTAAATGAGCCCGCTCTGTTGATATTAACCCACATGAGCCCAGAAACGGGCCGGAAAGGGCGCTTCGCGACAGGGCTGCGTAGCGGCCAGGGGGCGTATCCCATAGTAATAATTGAACAGCTTGTTTTGATAAGAGCCAAGCTCTGCAAAAAGGAGAAACCTGAAAAATTTACTACTTATCAGTAATAAACTCAGCGTTTAATCATACTGTATTAAATTAATTGAATCTTTTGAAAATTGAGGGAAATTTGAGGAATAAGTGTGGTTCAATGGTTGTTGTTTGCAATGGTTGATGGAATGGTTAATGATGGTTGATGGAACAAACTTAAGGCTCACCTCGTGATCTTTGAGTTTCCTTCCAACAACACGGAACGTGTTGTTGACCTGGTGCTGGAAAATGTGAACTTTGCTGACGCCGGATGACGTACCACTAGGAATCCATTTCTTGCTGACGTCATCGTAGAGCATCACCGATGCCCGTGCCGAGGCGATGCTCAGCTCACTGGAAAAATTAAAAATACAATACTTCAGACAGTTTAAACTTTAAACCAAACATTTAAAAAAGCTGAGTGGAACTATGACTGAGAAAAATAAGTGCAGCTATAATCAGTTGTCTAACCTTGACCAACTAAGAATAAGTTTCGACTTTCAATAATTTGAGGGTTGGATAAGTTAAAGTTGCTTTTTTTTCTTTACATTCCTTCCCATAATTTCCACAGACCTTCCTAATACTTGCCATGCATTGTTACAGCTCATCCTAATTGTTTTACCGCCGATGTTGATGGTTCAACACACTTGAAATTGCAGCGAGCCAAAAGAAAGATAATCAACTTTTGGATTTGCATGCAGCCCTGCTTAAAAACTAAAAACAATGATATGATCAAATTCAAAATAACAAGGCCAACCCTATTGGAGGGGGGGGGGGCGGCACCGCAGTGGTCAAATCCAGAGTCCCTTTATACTGAGAGTCAAGACAACACCCTTCATGGAGTCACAGACGGGAATAAAGATTACAGAAATTGAACGTTTTTCGTAATCTTTGATCGGCCCATTCTCGAATTCCTTTCCTCGTTCCTTCCCTCATTCCGTTTGTTCCTTGCCGAACCCGTAATTCCCCGGTCCATTCTAGATTATAGTCTTTGCAATCGGTGAAACTGTAAGCTTTATTCCCGTTTGTGACACTGTGAAGGCCTAAAATACGGGAACCAATCAGAAATGGATTCACATTGTCTTGACTCTCAGTATAAAGGGACTCTAGTCAAATCTAACGACTTCTACAAGTCTAAAACTGATTGTGAGATATTAGCCTCATGAATTGTATTTAAAAATTTATTAATGCCAAAGTACTTTCCCAAGTTGCAATTCATCGTATTCAGGATTAGGTTAACATGTGTTGGATCCTTTAATTGGAGATAGAATTTGATCAAATTTTCACTCAAGAACTTTCAAAGTTTAGTGCAAAAGCAAAAAGAAAAAATGCTTGTAGGGAAAAGATTCTCAAATTGAGAGGCTAGATCTAGAAACATTAATGCGAACAAAATATTATTTTGATTTTTTATTCAATGTGGCGATGAATATCATTTTGACGTGATAAAAAAAAGCTGAAGGCGAAATACAACTTTCGTAATCCCAAAAACTGGAACAAGCGGCATTAATTGGGTTTGAACACTAAATAAAATCCTAAAAACTAAATAATGACGATGGAATTTGTATCTGCTACCGTTCGGAAGGAACGAGAAGATAAAAACTCCTTTTAATTTTTTAACAGTGCGCTACTGCACTACTTAGAGTTCTTCTGATATTGTACAGTATGTATGTGTAATTTCACTGCGTCCTATGGTTGTAAACTTTTGATTTCAAGTACATTATTCATGTAGAAAAAAATTGTGTTTTGGTGAGGAGATAATTCTACGTGAATCAGAAAATAAACCCGAACATAAATAGGAGAAAGTTTTTTGGTAAATATACAAAAAAATGTTCTGATGAAGAGATGAAAGGATGATTCTAAGAAAATCAGAAAAAAAACATAGGTATGCTCTATGAAAAGATTCCATACATAAAAATGAGATACATTTTCAGATAATGCAGGAAAAATCCTCACATTCCGTGCAAACAGAGCAATAAGAGGAGTTGGTAGCTCGTCTTTGCGAAATATAGTCCGGTTAAAGAAACATTCACTTTAAGAACGATTCTCTATTTGAATTATCTTAAGAAAGGGCATGAATTCCATTGAAACAATACTTTGCTACTTGATGGTATCGGGTTCCACAAAAACATTTACTAACAGAACGTTCTAATAGGAGCTGCCTGAATTAAAAAATTCAATGCTTTCATGCACATGCTTTCATACTGACAATGTCTACCCAGCTTGGATTTTATGACAAGGATAAAGCATGAAATAAAAATGCAAAATTAGGTAGGAAAAATGGTGACACTATAAATGTTCCTTTCAGCAAGCTACTGGATAAAGACTGAAAGTGAACACAGCTAATATTGTCGTGTAAAGTACCAATAGTTCAAGATGGAAAGTTTTCACTGAATTTCAATTTTAGGGAATAGGCAAGTGTTAAAAAGAGGAAAATTTGCGGCTTCTTGATGGGAGCAATGTATTTTTAGAGAACATCTGCTTTCTTACAGCAATTAGGGGAAAGTTCATTGAAAGTTCCGATTGAAGATTCCTTCAGTAGAAACCTTCAATTGGATATTCTACCTTCAAAGAGAACTAGAGCCATCGCAGAAAGTAGAAACAGCCAGAGGTTGCAAGGATACTAGACCGAGCAAGTTTCTTTTCTTTTTTTTATCAAGACTAGGTAACAATTTATTCTTCAAAAAGGGAGATTTGATTTTGTGATTGGCCCCCTTGATGCGACATTAACATTTGCAAGTTATCAAATAGTAAAGAATATAACGATATATTCCATGGAATATTCGAGAATTTCAAAGATCTTTAACTTAAAACTATTGAGAACAAATGAACCAAGCTACAAAGAGAGGTTGAATTCCTTAGAGAATTCTTGGGCACACTTCTAAGTAAATTAGGCTATTTGTACTTGGCTTTCTTCTGTATCCTTCCGTAATTATCAGAGAACCTGATTTTGTTTTTGGGAGGTCAGAAGTATAATACTGTTGTTTTCTACCTCATAAGGATGTCTAGTGATGAGAGATGAAAGGGTCTTTCGTGTAGGGACAAGAAAGGAAGAAACGAAGTAGGGCGCTTGCAAGAAGGTAAAGGGTTAAAAGAGAGAAGCAAGTACCTTTTTCGCCCATCCTGAGCAGCGGCCTGCAGCTGATCTGCAGGACTGCACGAGGAGCTGTAACCACAACCAGATCAACTCACATTACTACGAGAAAAAGTCAGGTAAAAAGTCATTGAGTTATTTCAACCCGATAAGGGATAGGACTAACCATAAGGCTCATTCAAAAGGAGAATTTAATGTTCTAAAAGGACAGATCATTTGATATGCGACAAAATACGGAGAAAAATCCGAGCTGAGTAAAAGTAGAGTACCCATTACTGACAGGATATGGCCATTGCTATCTTTTAAGTGCGGGAAAGTTGTGCCGCTTTCTGATTCGTCTACGAGTTGGAGGCTATCACGATGCCCTAATGGCCGTAATTAAACAAACGCTCCTTTTGGTCAGTAAGGCTTCAAAAATGTATGCCATCCGTTTCACTAGAAGTTACTCCAGATGCAACCTTACCAACTCTCTCTTTCTGGATCAATCCAATTTATAGTACTCTTCGAATTATCCAGTTAATGTAAGTTAATGTTACGTAAAATTGTAAAATTAGTCAAAGAGTTTTTCCTATTAGATAATGGAATTCTTATCGGGTATTTAATGATTATTTCATGATTCCTTCTAGAAGGAATTCAACGGTTGAGTAAAGTCGCCATCTTCTTTCTTCACTTAGGTACGGTCGTAAGCGCACAGTATCAGCCTATTTTTCGCGACCAATGAAAAACCGACACACAAATGGCCGTACTCTGTCAATAGGTACTCTAAATAAGTGAGGAACCGAACAATTTTTGACATCCTGCATGTGAAATCGCTCCAAAATGCGCAAATTTTTTACGCAGACTGTCAAGTCAGGAGTAAATTGCAAACTTTTCCGTAGTGTTCCTCACGAGATCAGAGAGTTTTGAATTCGCCGGTTTCATTGAAATGCAGTTATTGTTATTTTTGCTCTGGCAAAACTTAGCAACAGACCTGCTGTCAAAAATGATCTTGAGTGTTGATCAAATAGTGTAAAATATGAACTAGACGTCAAGAGAATACGAGTGAGACACAATGGGATGCCAACGCAAGCACTGATTCTTTCCAGTAGCGATCATCACCAGTCGCGAGAGATAGTGGACCCACGGGAACCACAGTTTAGGGGGCTCCCTGATCTTAAGATCTTAATCGTTCGTATTCAAAACGCAGGATCATTGTCCCCGTAAGGACATTGTGGTAGGAGGAGCTTTCGGCCGTGGCGGATAAAATGGTGACAAACTGCTTGGCTACGGCCAAGAGATTAAAAAAATTGATAAAACAAATTTATTAAAAAATATAAAAAAAAAAAAATAAAAAAAAACAGATGATCCAAAATTACTTTATTCTTTTCTTGTCTTCTTCATTTGTTGTGAATTACCTGTCTTCCTTCTTCTTGTTTCTTTAATTTCCCCCTTTTTTTGTACTTTGATTATTCTCCCTCGACATCGAGCTCTCTTCTCCAAATTGTTACTTGATGACTTTATTCTGATACGGCATAAACTCTCTCGGTGTATGCAAGCAAATTCACGGACTTTTTTTTTTTTTTTTTTTTTTTTTGCATGATTTCCTCTTGAGAGTTTTTTTTTCGAAAATGTATACGACGCATTTCACGGTTCAACATGAAGATTGCTCGACTTTTCTGGGCTAGAAAAATCCTCCGACTTTTCCTGATAGAGATTTCCCCTGACTCCTCAAGAACTTGTCATCCTAAAGGACGGTTCTTCCTCCTCATGAAGAAAGTGATCAAATCATGTGTCATCAACCACTTTATACGTCCTTCAAAATCCACGCGAGAAAGAGAAGACTGGACAAAACTCGAGTATATTCGAGTATTTTCGAGTGTCCGCAAGGATCTTCGAGATGAAGGCGGCAATGCTGGGCGGCACTGTTTTGCGGCCAGTTTTGACGCAAACAAAGCGACCGTGCAATAAAGTAACAATGGACCCTCGGCTGGAAACGAAGAGTAATCGGCGGTTAATGGGCGCGAATTGATTCGGCGCTTGATTCGATGCGAGTCTCTGAACCTCGTGAATCGTGATTCGACGCCTGGATCGTGCCGACAATTAGACCCCCGTCGGATTTTGGTCTCCAACCCCCCCTCCCCCTCCCCCCTCTGCGGTTGCATCTGGGGCCGCGGACCCCCACGCGGGTCAACGGGCCCGTCGACAGCGCGCTGCTGGAAAAATACGAACATTTCCTCCCGAAAATCAGGAACAGAAAATGAGTGTGACGGGGTGAAAGTTAAAAAATCGTGCTTCGGCTTCCCTCAAAATCGAATGGGGCAGTTGCAAGGTTTCAGTTTCAATTTATAATTAATTTTCGGAAAATTCGTAAAAAACGACAGTACCGTTTTTGATTTCATAAAATTTGATCTTTCCTAGCATGGCTTCATGCAGAGGCCGAGTAGTTGCATCATTTGAAACCCCAAACAACAATGCAGCAACGTATATATAAGAGGGTAATGCGGTTGCTTGGGATAATTATTTGAGAAAAGACGCATAAGAAACGCCTTCATTGGGAAAAGATACTTCCTAGCGTCGCCTCGGAGGCCGAATAGTTGCATCATACGGAGACCCGATCGACGGTGTAGCCGCGTGAATTGGTGAGTGAATGCGATTGCTTCAGATGACTATTAGATGAAGAGCAACGACGCATCGGAAACGCCTTCACTACAAAAAGATAATTCCTAGTACGGCCTCGGAGACCGGATAGTTGCATCATACGAAAACCCAAGCAGTTGCCGCTCGAATTGGTGAGTAAATGTGATTACTTCAGATGATTACTTGATGCAGAGTGCCAACGCATTGGAAACGCCTTCACTGAGAAATGATACTTCCCAGCATGGCCTCAGAGGCCGAATAGTTGCATCACGTGAAAACCTGACAAATTAGCTGCGTAAACTTTCCGCAAATTAGAAACACGTTCATAACACATGTAAATTTAAAAGACTGAAACTGTCCTTGGTGATAGTTAATTGGTTAAATATCAACATCTTTTCTTGATACTTTCCGGATTTCCTTCGCTGGATCAAGAACATTCTGCGAATATTTCAAACAATAGCGTTGATTAGTTCTCCTTTTGATAAAGTAAGACTGCAGCGGAGATTTTTAAACACCGCGAACGAGATACCAATGGCTAAAGTGCGAAACCGCGTATCGCCATTTACGACGTCAAACTTCATTTTTTCTTTGGAATTCTGAACGAAGTGTTTTTTTTAAACTTCCTAGAATTTTCTTCGCCATTATCAGAAAATTCTGTAGAAACTTCAACTTATTAAGTTGACTTGTTTCTCTTCGGAAGAATAAAACAGGAGCGGAAATGTTGAAACGTCGCATTGGGGATACGTGTTTTTGCACTTCAACCGTCGATATGCGTTTATGCAGTTTCACCGCCGATAGGTTCTTGTCGAGGAAAATTCTTCGAGTCTCTGTTTACACTTATTAAAGGGCAAAAAACGGAAATTTGCCACTTTGACTAGGTTCCCTGACGGTAATGACGCTACCAAGTGTCAACGATTCGCGGCACCAAGGACGTAAGATTCAGCGCTAATAACATTTATTTGTTTGTTTGTGTGTTTGTTTATTTGCCCGTCAATTTTTTCTCGATCCGTAGCGACGCACGCAGCTAAGCCGGGGCGCGCCAAAATGTTTGCGGAGGAGCTGGGCAGAATTTTGAGAGCGCTTCCTGAGTAAACATTCTTGGCGGGAAGTTAATTTACAGCTTTCCTTGGCTTTGATGGCGAATTGACACTGTTTACATTACGTAACAGCTCGAAACCTCAAACTGAGTGCGCCGGATGCGAATTCGTCATTTGCCGAGTACATACGTACACTCCATATGACATGGTAACCCAACATCGCGAAATCTGAACTTCTAATTATAGGTCAAAAAGTTAGAGCGAGACCAAATGTATTAGCTATACAGGGTGTTCCAGGATTAAGTACGACTATTGAAGGAGTCGATTCTTCGGGTCAAGAAAAGACGTTTTAGCGGTATAACTTTTTTTTTTCCAAAAACGCGTTCCCTGAGGGCAACCCCCACCCTCTGCGCGCCAACCCGCGCTCCATTCAGTCCCTATTACCTCGAAAACGATGAGACATAGCGAAAAAATGTACCGCACGTTATCTCAATATTTTTCAACGCTGAATCTAGTGGTGCCGTCAAAAATCAATATTTGTCGCTAGAAACATTAATTTTGGCCACTTTTAGGTTCGATTCCCCCTGAGCCCCTCTTTAAAATGAAATTTCTTTTTTTTTTGGAGGTCAAAAATGAAAAGAGCGCTGAAAATTACGCCTAATTACCAGTTTTCATTAATATTGGTCGATGAACATTGTCACAGTGTCAAAAAGACGAATTTTCTTCTCCAACTTTGGGGGGGCCGTGGCCACAAGGGAAAGCGTTTTTGGAAAAAAAAGGTTACACCACAAAAACGTCTTTAGACATTTAGAGGTTAGAAAATTGAATTCGAAATTTCAATTTGCGCCCGGTGACGTCATCGAGAGATATCGAAAATCTCTGCTACTTTTCAACTGCCCTTCCTCATTCGGACGTATTCATGCTAAAAGGAACTATGTGCATATGATTTGCATGTATCATAGTTCCTTTTAGAATAAATAAAGTCCATTTATTCCTCAAAATGCATTGTGACAACGGTGTGATTCATCGACAACGAGTGACGATAGTCCTAATTCCTCAGGACACAACTCAAACGACGATGACAAAACATCAGAGGCGAAACGTGAACGATCGATTTTCGACTTTTCCCCATTTTGAGCCGTGTTAAAGAATCGATGGTTGAGGCGTTCGTTACGAAAACCCTGTTCATCGATCCTTATCCATAGGTTTGAATGACGGATCAATCGATAGATCGCAAAGCGCGCGGCGGCACTGCGAAACAAGCGCCGATCCTGCAATAAGCTCGGCACGCGAGTCCGGCCTTGGGATTCCGCTCGGCTTCGCACGCCCAACCAATGGTACACATAATCGAATTTCTGCGAAAAGGTGCGGTAAGCTTTATCTCTAAAGTTCAACGAGTGCAGCGTTGTGCCTTCTGTC